TCCTGATGCTTCTCAGGGATCACTCCTGGTGGGGTTTGGGGAATCTTCTGAGGTACCAGTTACACAGCCTGGGCGGTTTGTATGAATGACTAGTACCTTGTCCACTTTACTATCTCTCTGGCTCTTAACGGGGAAATTTACTCTGGGAGTGATACTATACCTTTACTCATTCATAAAGATGATACCACACTTTATTTTTTTAATTTTTTTGCTTTTTGGGTGACACCCGATGATGCACAGGGGTCACTCCTGGCTCTACACTCAGGATTTACCCCTGGTGGTGCTCAGGGGACCATATGGGATGCTGGGAATCGAACCTGGGTCGGCCGCGTGCAAGGCAAACGCCCTACCCGCTGTGCTATTTCTCCAGCCCCTGATACCACAACTTTAAATAGTTGGATTTGTTGCATTTAATCAGTCTTTAGCTATTTTACCAAATACTTCCAGTACTTTGACTTGAGAGGTAAAGAATCAAGATGTAGATACTGGATTTCATTCTACCTCCAAATTTATTTTTTATTTTATTGTTTTTTTTTAATTGGCTATCCGTGACATAGACTATTACGAAGCTGTTCATTTTTGGGTTTCAGTCATACAATGATCCAACATCTATCCCTCCACCAGCCTACACTTCCCACCACCAATGTCCCGTTTCCTTCCCACCATCCCCCAACCCCCCACTCCCCTCGCCTCTGTGACAGGCATTTTTCTTCTTTTTCTCTCTCCTTTTGTGCATTATGTGCAATACAGGTATGAAAAGGTCATTGTGTTTGTTTAGGGCGTCCATTATTTTTATCGGGAAGATAAGGCTGGAGTAGCTTTTTTGGGGGGTCACACCCGGCGATGCACAAGGGTTACTCCTGGCTCTGCACCCAGAAATTATTCCTGGCGGTGCTTGGGGGACCATATGGGATGCTGGGAATCGAACCCAGGTCGGCCGCGTGCAAGGCAAACACCCTTCCTGCTGTGCTATCGCTCCAGCCCTCGAGTAGTTTTTAAACTGGGTGGCAGTTTAGGGGTGTGGTCGTGACTGCAGAGGCTTCTGGAAGTACAGGGAGGTGGTGGAAGGTAGCCCATCCCGACCCTGAAAGAGCTTGGAGATTTTAGTCACAAACCTGTTAACCCGAATTTTTAGCAGATTATATCTCAGTGAGGGCTGTCCTGAGATGGTGGAGTCTGATCGGGGGCATGGCGGTGTTTTTGGATTATGCAAGTGGCTGCCAGAGGCTCTGCTTGGGCAGGCATCAGGCTGACCCACACCCCTCTGATTTACCTTGGTCTGTTCATTCATGCTCGGGTCCAAGATTAACTGTAACTCTTGATCTCTTTCAAGATTTATTTATGGGTCTCTAAAGCAAGGCGAATAAATGAGCTTGTATAGCTGAGGTGGTTTGAGGAGGTGGTTTGAGGGTGTGGCTTTCCTAACTTTTGGCCGTTTAATTTCTTGGGAAACTTGGTCCCAAGTTGTTTGGGTCTGGCCAGAGGCGCAGTGGCAATTTTGGGGGAATCAGGAAGACTGAAGGCACCATCAGGCTGTTGATGCACTCACCCCGTGGGTACAGGTTGACCTGCTGGCAACACCGAACCACTCTACCTCCAAATTTTTTAAGTCTGAAAAAACAACTCAAGGCAACCAAAACAAATGGCCAGAGATACGCCGATGGACTGAAGTGCATGCTTTACATGCAGTAGGTCCAGGATCTATTCCTGGCACTACACGGATCTCTCAACATTGCCAGGAGTAGCCCCTGAGGCAGGGTCTGGCCGCTAAACCTAAACAAACACAAACCAAATTTGTAGGTCCCACAAATAATGGGTAATAAACAGGGGTCATGTGACCACTTGAGCCACGTGTGTGGCAATGTGAGGGTGTTGGAAAGCTTTTTCTTCTCTTTTTCCGGGTGGTGGTGAGGGCATATGTGACCGTGCTCAGGGGTCACTCCAGGCTCTGCACTCAGAAATCACTCCTGGCACCTCTGGGGACCATGTGGGATGCTGGAGACCGTACCCAGTCAGCCCTGTGCAAGGCAAATGCCCTCCTTGCTGCACTATCACTGGGGCCCTGAAGTTTTTTCTTCTATTTAGGCCAGGTTTCCTTTTTTAATTGCTACACGGCTCCATGACCTACTAACTCGTTTCCTATCTCCAGCACTTAAAAGCTTGTTTGCTCAGGTGTAGCTCTGTAACTCTGACTTAATTATTACATACATAAAGGAGTCTCTTGATCCTGCCCTATAAAACAGTTCCTTCAGCTTCTCAGTACTTATGGCCCATCCCTGTCTGGCTCTCCTTTGAGTGATGTTAAGTTCATACGTATAAAGAAGTTTAGGCATTTAGAAGGTGAACTGAAATTAATTTTACAGCAAACTTCCTTAGAAGTTGTGGTTTGGGGAGGGGGTCTATATCTGCACTTTGCAATCCAAATGTCTTTTTTTTGGGGGGGAAGCACATCTGGCAATGTTCAGGGGTCACTTCTGGTGGGGCTCCAGGTACCATATATTTAAAATTTTTTTTTTAGTTTTATTGAATCACTGTGAGATATAGTTACAAGCTTTCATGTTTGAGTTACAAGCACACAATGGTCAAACACCCATCCCTCCACTAGTGCACATTCCTCAACACCATATCCCCAGTATACCAGAATTTCCCACCTTCCCCCTGCCTCCATGGCAGACATGATTCCCCATACTCTCTATTTTTGAGCATTATGGTTTGCAATACAGATACTGAGAGGTTATCATATTTGGTCCTTTATCTACTTTCAGCACACATCGCCTATCCCAACAGATCCCTTCTCTATTATAGCTGCCTTCCTCCCTGCAAACCCCCCTCCCCCGTCATGAAGCAGGCTTCAAACTATGGAACAATCTTCCTGGCCCTTGGAAACCATACATATATATTTTATTGTAGGAGTACTGCTATTTATTCAGTCACTGATTAGCTGATTGAATTGTGCATGAACTCCACCTTTTTTTTTTCATTTTTTATAATTTTATTTATGGAATCACCGTGAGAGCAGTTACAAAGCTTTTGGGTTTAAGTCTCGGTCACACAATGAAACACTCATCCCTTCACCAGTGCCCATTCTCCACCCCCAACAACCCAGTATACCCCCATCCCACACCCTCCCCCTACCTGTGGGGCAGATGATTTCCACATTACTCTCTCTCTACTTTGATCACATTCAATATTTTGACACCAGACCCACAATTATTATTTGAGATTTTACCCCAACACTCAGATCTGCTGAAAAGGCAACAGTAGACAATTTGTTTTCCATTGCTGATTATGAATAACATATGATGTTGAGTGGCTGCCGTAGTGGCCGCGCAATTTTGAAATTCCAAAATTTTAACACTTAAATCTGGAGGGATTTCTGCCAAAACCTGCTGGGTTCCGAGATTTACTCCTGAGTCTCTGGAATCATGGCTGTTAAGCAGCTTGATCAGGAGCCAGAAAGGCCGGGAACTATATTTTGTGCCATAATTGAGCCCCTGTTGGCTGGGCTCATGGCAAGCACCTTGCCCCCTGTACTATCTCTTCAGCTTCCCAAACTTCCTTATGATACATTATCAATTTTATCTGTTTTGGGGTGGAGCGATAGCACAGCAGGTAGGGCGTCTGCCTTACACGCGGCCAACATGGCCGACCCGAGTTCGATTCCTCCGCCCCTCTCGGAGAGCCCGGCAAGCTACCGAGAGTATTCGATATGCCAGACACAGTAACAACAAAGTCTCCAATGGAGACGTTACTGGGCCCGCTCGAGCAAATCGACGATCAACGGGAGGGCCTTTATCTGTTTTGGGGTCATGGGCCATTGGTGCTCACTCAGGGTTCACCCCGGGTATGGGAGGTACTCAGGACCATGTGGTGACAGGGACGAACCAGGCCTTCCTCAATGCCATCCAGCTCATTGAGCTCTCTTCTACCCTTAACTGATAAGTTTAAGTAAGAAAATGTTTGGGGTGAGGGGTTAGGGAAGTGGGGGGCAATCTCAGTGTATATTATGTGCTCCTGCATTACTGAAGAACTCTGAACTCACATATTCCATCTAGCATTATAAGATGCGTCACAAATTTTATTTTCCCACTGTTGCTGGCTGTATTTTCTCCTAAATTCATCTTTATTGCAGATCCAGGACTTAAGTAATTAGCTTTGAATCAGATAGCTTTCAACTTCTAGGTGTAATTTGCTCTTTGCAATTGTTAAAAATAAAAGATCAGATCTATGGCTCAGTACAGCGGTTGCCTTCCCCTGCACCAGCAAAAAGTCTGCAGCAACAGGGCTTGATACTTTATTTCTTCCCACCAACACTCCTTTTATTCAAAGGCTTAGAGGTCTGTGCAAGCGCACGCCCAGGCATTCGCAAGTATGATGCAACTCCCTTCTGCAGCGGGGCTTTCGCTCTCAGTAGGACTGCGGTGCCCACCTTGAGTTTTTCTGGGTCCAAAGGCGCTTTCTGGGGGGGCGGGGCGATGTCACACCCCTCCCCCTCTGACAATTTCCGAGCTGGGTTTCCCACCCGCAGCGAGCAGCGAGGTTAAGCAGCCGGCAGAGCAGGGCGTGCACACCCCATCCCCCCCAGGTCACGTCGCCCTTCCCCGGCCCCTTTCGGGCAGCGGCTAAATTCGGTCTTTCCCCGGATCCCCGCCAGGTCCTTCCGGCCGGGGCAGGCGGGACCCGGGCCGCACTGCTCGCGGGAAAAGACGCGACGGCGCGGACGCCCGCCTGACCTCCGGGCGGACGCTCGGACCCCGACTTCACACTCCCCAGCCCCACTACCGCGGAGACAGTGACCGGGATCCCCGTCGCCCAACGTGCCCGCGGCGGAGGCTCGCGGGAGCTGCAAGGACCCGCGCCGCCGCCGCCGCCGCCGCCGCCGCCACGTCAGCCGCCGCGCGTGACGCCAGCGCGCCTGCGCGCCGCGGAGGGGCGGGGCGAGGGCGGCGGCCCCGCCCCCTGCATCCGGGGCCCGGGCGGCGGCGGCGCGGCGCGGCGCGCGGTCACGTGGTCTTTCCTTTCCGTCTCGGGCCGGCTGGGCGCGGGCGTCTGCTGGCGGCGCGTGGAGCCTCGCGCTGCTTCCCCGGCTCCGCTCTCCGGGCCCCCGAGGAGTTGGCCGCCGCCGCCGCCGGGTGAACCGCGCCTGCCGCCACCATGCCGGCCTACTTCCAGAGGCCCGAGAACGCCCTCAAGCGCGCCAACGGTGAGCCGCCGGGGGGCGGTGGGGGGGTCGGGCCTGCTTCCTGCCGCCGCCGCCGCGGCCCCTCAGGCCCCAACCGGCGGGCGCCCGCGAACCGCCGCCCCGGCCGCCCCGGCCGCCCCGGCAGCCCCGGCAGCGGGGCCCCGGGGTTGCGCCGCGCCGCGCCGGGCGCTCCGGGCCGCGGGCGCCGCCTCGGCCCGCCCCGAGCCGCGGCCCCGCCGCCATCTGGGAAGCGCCGGGGCGGAAGGAACATGGCTCCCTCCCGGGGACAAAGCACGCGAGGGCCCGGCTCCTCCTCCTCCCGCGGCCGGACGGCCCCCGCCCCGGGCCCCGCCACCCGCCGCGCCCCGCCCCGGGCCGCCGCGACCCCCGCCCCGGGTCCCCGTCACGGCCACCCGCCACCGGCCCTCCCGCCGGCTCCCGCTCCGGGCCCCGCGACCACCCCGCTCCGGGATCCGCCCCGGGAGCCGGGCCTGGGGCCTTGGGCCTCGGCCTGGGGTGGGGGCCACCGCGACCCCCGCCCCGCGCCCCTCCCGCCTCCGGGTCGACCTCTGCCCCGCATCCCGGCCACCGCCTCTCGCCCCCCGCCCCGACCCCCCGCGTCCCGCCGCCCGAGTTCCGGGAAGCCGGGCGGGTTCCGGCGCGGTGAGACCCGGCAGGTGCCTCCCGCCCCGCGACCCCGACGCCCGCCGCGGGCTGGGCCGCCCAAGGTCACGCCGGCCGGGGCTCCCGGAGCCCGGAGGAGGAGGCGGCGGCGGCGGCGGCTGCAGATTCTTTTTTTTTTTCCCCCTTCACCCCTCCTCGTTCTTCCTTTTCGCGGTCCGCAGCGCCGCCCCTCGCTCGTTTCTCGCGGCCCCGGTGCTTTCCGCGAGAGCTTGGGGCATCGGGTGGGAGGGGGGTGGCGCCGTGGAGGCTGGGTTAGAAAAAGGCTTTATTTTCTGGGGGGTGGGGTGGGGCGGGAGGAGGGGTCTTCTGCAAACAGAATTGCCCACCGTGCCCGCCCCTGATGGCTGCTGGCGATTCGGCAGTTCTGCCCCCGGGCCCGAGCGCTCTCCCGGGGTCCCCACGGGCACCGGGGTCTGTCTGTCTGTCTCGAAACGTCCTTCCTCCTCGTCCCTTTGGAGTCGTAGGAGCATAAATGTCTCAACTTCGTAAAATGCGGCTCTCGGTCATGACGCAATAGCCCTGCCATCTTTCACGGCTTCTGGGGTTGGAGTAGACGAATGTGAGTCTTGGGAGGACAATTGGTTAGGAGGAAATAACCAGAAGTTTAGAAGTTCAAGTAGGCAAGCTGAGAAAAAGGATACTATGTTTGCAAACGGGAATTTTGTTTGTAGTTCCCCCGCGAAAAGAAAAAAGTGCCCCCCCCCCCATTGTATTTGCTCCTCTTGATTCCATTATCGGACCAAAAAGACGTGCAATTCAGGATGAAACTTCTGTACCACCTGCTCAGAGGGAACAGAGAAATGGCTCAGGACCCTCCTAAGAAACTTTTTTTTTTTTTTGCTTTTTGGGTCACACCCAGCGATGCGCAGGGGTTACTCCTGATTTTGCACTCAGGAATTACTCCTGTCGGTGCTTGGGGGACCATATGGGATGGCCAGGATCGACCCCAGGTCAGCCCGCATGCAAGGCAAACACCCTGCCCACTGTACTATCGCTCAGGCCCCTCAGGAAACTTTTTTTAGTCTCTGCAAGTGTCAGTTTTTCTACATTTTTACCTAAACTCTTGTGATCCTGAACCTTCTTAGATCTGTCTTAATAAAATCGCAATATATTTAAGTAGGAGAGTCCAAAACTTTGGAAACTTAGTGTGGGCTCATACCCCTGCCTGTCAGAATCTTTTGGACAAAATTCCTTTTCCAGATTATTGTTTGGTGTGCCAAATTAGTTGCTTCTGACTCTCAGAAACAGCCTCTTAACTATACAACCTGTGGCCTTAAGTTGTTATTAAGCCAGTAAATTGTGTAACGTATTAGCTTGCACAAAGACTAGTAACTATGAAGGACTGATGTAAACCTTTGGAACTAGACACATGGTTATCTTCATTGTGATTGAGAGGTACTAGGAATCGCCACTTCACGAAAAGAGTCAGCTTTTTGTGTTTTGTGTCAAAAATAATAATCTAAGAATGAGCCTGTCTTTATTGTAACAGAGACATTGGTGTGTGATAGTTCTTACCAGCCCCAGAAACTCTGGTAAATCATAGGAACTGCTTGTATAATAGGGTAAAGACACACTTTCACCACCAGGTTATCTTGATCAGTCTGTTCCCAGTCTAAAAACACATTCTGCCCATAGTTTTCTTTTCTCCGTCAGCGTGGTGGATGTTTGTCCTACATTTTTGTAAAGAATGCATTGGTTTGCCTTGACTTGTTGGAACATGGTATTTCAGAGTTTGAAATATTGCTCTTTGGAATCAAATATGATTGACTGTTTAGGAAGTGAAAAGTCCATGTGTTCCTAACAGGCTTTTCCCCCATGGAGTGATAATTAAGCCACTGCAGTCTCCCATTTGAAGCAAGAGAGTTTTCTTACTGTGAAGTGTTCTTGGACAGCTTAGTATTTTATCATTGTCCTCCTGAGACCAGCTTTGCATTGGTCCTTGTTACAAGCACATTGATGGTGCTTACCTATTAGTGTAAGATTTAAGTTCTCAATAAAATATTGGGAGTTAGAAATAAGTCATTTTGGTGCTGGAGTGACTTTGGGAGAGGGTTTGGGCCACACCTAACAGTGCTCAGAGCCACTCATGGCTCTGTACTCTGGGGTCACACCTCATATTCTGGGACCAGTAGGCAGAACTGGGTTGGTCTATCCTCTTCTGCCCCGGAAGTGATGTTCTTAATGTAAAGGGTAAACTTCAAAGCATCTATTACCAAAGTTTCAGGAGGGTTTTTGTGTGTGTGTGTGTGTGTGTGTGTGTGTGTGTGTGTGCTGTTAGATTTTTTTGGCTAAGTTTTTAAATTTTTTGAGTCATACCTGACTGTTCAGGGGTCACTCCCTGTTCTGGGGACCAAGTGTGTGCTGAGGACGCAACAACATTTGGCTGGGTGCTAGGCAAGTGTATTAACTTTTGTACTATCTCCCTGACTCTAAACAAATTGCCTATGCTTGAGGTAGTGTGCTTCTAGTGGCGTTGACATTGCTGGTCTTGGAGTCCGGCTGCCTCTCCTCATCACCACCAGTTTGCCGAAGACCTTCCACAGTGTTGTATGTAGGCTTTTAGGCCACCTGCATGCCTGTGGGAGGAAGGGAAGACAGGCACCCCCAACCCCACCCCAAAACCAGCAACTGGGAGGAAAAACTAAATTCCAATAAAGTATTCAGTTGCATTACATTTTTGCTTTACTTAGTAGATTTTTTTTTTTTTTAATTTTGAGCAGTGCTTAGGGCTTACTCCTGACTCTGCTGTTCAGGGATTTTGGCAGGGCCAGGGTACCATATGGGATACTGGGGGGGTCGAACCCGGGTTGGTGGCGTGTAAGGTAGGCACTGTCACTCTGTAGTAGCATTTTTTAGTGATAAAATTGATTCAACTGGAAATGGTTTTGTGCCATAATGACAAGATTAATACTGAGATTACTTATTTGAAATATTGAAAAGGGATTTGATTAGTATTTGTTAGTGAGGATTGTTGGTATTATTTATACATGTAACTGAACCTGGGACTTCACATAAATACAAAGCATGTGCACTACGGCTGTCATTCCCAGCCTCCAAGAAATACACTTATTTCTATAGTCTTGTGACTTCTCTTGTTATAATTGTCTTTCTCAACCCCCTTCCCCCGTAGTTGAAATACTTGTGGTTTTTTAAAATGAATTTTTAGAGGAAGGAGTGTTAGGATGCAACATTCCTGAAAGATGTAGTTAAAAATCATTGGTAGATGGAGCTGGAGCGATAGCACAGTGGGTAGGGCGTTTGCCTTGCGGCGGCCGACCCGGGTTCCATTCCCAGCATCCCATATGGTCCTCTGAGCACCGCCAGGGGTGATTCCTGAGTGCAGAGCCAGGAGTAACCCCTGTGCATCGCCGGGTGTGACCCAAAAAGAAAAAAAAATCATTGGTAGAGAATGACTAAGTCTGTGATTATGATACCCTGGCCTGTTTGTGGAGCACAGTATTACTGGGAGATAGTACTATATGTTGTTGACTTAAAATTTTTTTTTATTTTATTAACTGATAACTGATTTACAAAGTTATTGGTAGTTGAGCTTTAGATATATGTTTATTTTTAAGATTTTATTTTTTGGGGGGGGGTCACTCAGTGGTGCTGAGGACTTAATGTTCTGTGTTAGGTATCACACCTGGTGAGGCTTGGGGGACCGTATGGGATACTGGCGATTGAACCCAGGTCAGTCGCCAGCAGATCCAGTCTCACTGTATTATTGCTCTGGACCTAAAATAAACTTTTTTTTTTGGTCGAAATATTTATGTTTTCTTTCTAGGAAGAAAGTAAGCTATTTAAAATAAAATTGGGGAGCCAGAGAGATAATACAATGAGTAGGGCGCTTAACCATGGCCGATCTGGGTTCTATCTCCGCATCCCATATGGTTCACCAAGCAGAGCCAGGAGCATTCCTGGCAGTGACTCAAAAATCTTAAAAAAAAAAAAAAGTAGGTAAAATGTTTGCCTTTCATGAGGCCTGTCACCCCACGGGGTCTCCTGAGTGAGATCAGGAATGATCTGAGTACAGGGTTTGCCCCCAAACAAAACAAACACAAACCCTCCCCCAAAACAAAGCAAAGGCAACAAAATGGGAATGTGGTGTTTAGGGACTTGAATCGTTTCTTAGCTCCCCAGATTTTTCAAATGTGTAGAAAGACATTTTGGTATGAAAATTGTCAATCACAAGAAAAAAATTTAAAAGAATTTTTTTCCTTTGGCTTCATACCCTGCATTGCTCAGGGGCTCCTGGCTCCGACCTCTGGGTATCATGTCATGCCAGAGACCAGACATCCCACATGTGGAGTGTTCAGCCTTACAACTTCTTTGGCCCACAGTTAACTGAGTTTTATGTTGAGTGTAAGTTAACTGAGTTTTATGTTGAGTGTAATCTTATGACTTAGCATGATCTATGAAAAGGTAAATTTTGGTCAGGTCAACTGGGTAGAACTTACACTTTCCTGCAGGAACTCTGGGTTGCAGTCTTGTGTACCTCATGATCGTGCAGTTGAGTGTGGGGTCTTTTGATTGCTTTTTTGGGGGGAACACCCTGGTGAAGTTCAGGAATTACGCTGTGTGCTCAGGAAATCACTCCTACCTGTGCTTGGGGAAACCATTTGGGATGTGGGGGATCAACCCTGACACACAGCCGTGTGAAAGGCAAAATACCCTTCCTGTTGTACTGTCTATGGCTCCAATTTTGGGGTCTTTTGGGATCATATTGCAGTGCTTGGGAGGTACTTCCCAATACCAGGTGTTTCTCTGTCCCGATTTCTCAATTTTAAAATAAGCTTTTGGGGCTGGAGAGATAGCACAGCGGGTAGGGCCGCTTTGCACGCTGCCAACCCGGGTTCAATTCCCAGCATCCCATATGGTCCAGGAGTAACCCCTGTGCATTGCCAGGTGTGACCCAAAAGAAGCAAAAAAATAAAAAAAAATAAAATAAGCTTTATTTTTATATATTTTTGGTTTTGGGGCCATACCCGGTGATGCTCAAGAGGACTTACTCTTGACTTTGTTACTCAGGGACCACTCCTGGCAGGCTTAAGGACCATATGAGATGTCAGGACAGGACCTGGGTCAGTTGCGTGCAAAGCATACCTGCTATGCTATATACTATATATACTATATATACTATATGTACTATATGTACTATAGCAAGCCATGCACTACCTGCTGTACTGTAATCCCTGGCCTCAAAAAAATAAGCTTTAATTTTTTCTTCTCATCTTTGGACATGGATACACAATTCGCACTCGTGGATTAGACGACAAAGTGATAAAGTTTCTCCTAAATTGGAGCTAGTTTGATTATAGTGAACTATTTTTTTTAGATAGCTACATGTTAATTCAAATGTGTCTTTGAAAAGGCAAAAGACAAGTAGTAGTGAAAAATCAATTTGAGCTTTCACACCACCTGATTCTAAGACTACCATAGCTCCAAGACTACAGACACATGGGTCACTAAAAGAGTTTGCTCAGAATAGAGACCTGAGGTAGGGCCAACACGGTCCACTTATAAGGAGCAAAAGGAATATGATTTTGTCTCAAGGCTGGTGTGACAAGAACCACTATATTAGAACGTGTGACTGAAGTCATACTGAAGTTTCTGTGTTTGTGTTGGGAGAAGATTCCTTTGGTCATTGCTCCAGTTTCTGTAACTTAAGTTACATTTTGAGATTTTCATTGTTTCACCTTAGGTAATTTTGGTAGAGCCTTAGAAGAATAAATGTGACCTTAAAAAATGATAAAGTTCAGAAGTTATAAAACAGTTAAAGCAAAATTTGGACTGTTGAAGGTTATATATAATTAACTGGATTCAATTCTTCTTTTACAGAATTTCTTGAGGTTGGCAAAAAGCAGCCTGCTTTGGATGTTCTTTATGATGTTATGAAAAGTAAGAAACATAGAACATGGCAGAAAATACACGAGCCAATTATGTTGAAATACTTGGAACTATGTGTGGATCTTCGCAAGAGCCACCTGGCTAAGGAAGGATTATACCAATATAAGAACATCTGTCAGCAGGTATGTGCAGGACCAATTTTATGTTTCTGTAGGTGCTTCTGCTGAAATGCCTTTTAATCTGTTACATAGTTAATGAACCCTGCTTTTAAAATACTTCCTGGTTCTTTGGGAAAAGATTTTACCTTTTTGTGTCTTTGGGGGCCTTAGGTAAACATCAAATCTCTAGAAGATGTTGTTAGGGCATATCTGAAATTGGCAGAGGAAAAAACTGAAGCTGCAAAAGAAGAATCCCAGCAGATGGTTTTAGACATAGAAGATCTGGATAATATTCAAACTCCTGAGAGGTACGTGGGTTCCAATGCTAGTAAAGGTTTTTCTTTTAAAGTACCTCCCTCCCCATTTGAAGTGAACACTTTTTAGAAACATCTGTTACAAATGGCTTAGCTTCAAAATGTTAAATATAGTAATTTAACCAAAAATTTGTTACTTAAAATTTGTAAAACAAATTACAACCTATAGATTGGAAGCTTAAATGATAGTCTGAACAGAAGTTGGATTTGGATTTGCAGTTTGAAGTTTTGATTTTTTTTTTTAATATGGTGAAGTGGGAATGTCACCATGTCTTAAGATGATTTTCAACATGTTTGTTTCTGTGTCTTTGCAGTGTCCTATTAAGTGCTGTGAGTGGTGAGGACACTCAGGACCGAACTGACAGATTACTCTTAACTCCATGGGTTAAATTCCTGTGGGAATCATACAGGCAGTGTTTGGACCTTCTTAGGAATAATTCTAGAGTGGAGCGTCTCTACCATGACATTGCCCAGCAAGGTAAAATGAGAACCGATTTGAAAAGTTGAAAAGATTTTGCAGTTACTACATTTAACAATCTTTTCCACAGTACTTTGTATTTTACAGTTTTCACATTCACTGAAATTCGATTGGTGTTTAATCAGACATCATGGCATAAGCAATTGGGATTTTAGGGGGCTTGGACCACACCTGGAGGTGCTCAGGAATCTGATTTTCTGACCCTCGCGACCCCAGTATTGCTTGTGATTCCATACGCAGTGGTGGGGATTAAGCTAGGTTGACCACATGCAAGGCAAGCACCATACGTACTCGGGTGCAAGGGAAGTGCCCTACCCACTGTACTGTCTCTGGCTCCCAGGCCAGAAATTTTAGCGTTAAAATTTTAGGTGGTTATTTTGGAAAGAGATTTTTTTTTCCTTTTTTTTTTTGCTTTTTGGGTCATACCCGGCGATGCACAGGAGTTACTCCTGGCTCTGTACTCAGGAGTTACTCCTGGTGGTGCTCAGGGGGCCATATGGGATACTGGGAATCGAACCCGGGTCGGCTGCGTGCAAGGCAAACGCCCTACCCACTGTGCTATTTCTCCAGCCCTGTGAGTTTTTTCTTGACCCAGATTTGTATGATTGGCATTTGTAAGCTCTTCGAGAATCACTTTTAGGCCTAGGGTGCCAGAGCTGATGGTTTTGACTTCCCTTATTTTTTTAGTCAAGTTTCAAAAAGGTGTTTTAGGCTTTTCTTGAGTTAGGGCTCATCTGATGATTTCTAGAAAACTGGTGGGTTTGGTAAGTCTTGTTAAAAATTGCTTGCTTTAACATATAGGAATAAAATATGTTAAATAATTGAGATTGGTGGTGAAAAGTACTTAATATATTTTACAATTATGCTTTCAGCTTTCAAATTCTGCCTTCAATATACCCGAAAGGCTGAATTCCGTAAACTGTGTGACAATCTGAGAATGCACTTGTCGCAGATTCAACGCCACCATAACCAAAGCACTGCAATCAACCTTAATAATCCGGAGAGCCAGTCCATGCATTTGGAAACCAGGCTTGTTCAGCTGGACAGTGCTATCAGTATGGAGTTATGGCAGGTAGGTGGTAACTAGGTGGTACTGGTTTTCCTTTGCGGTGGGTGGCTTGTCACTTCTCCCCCATTCAGTATTTGGTGTTTATTTTTTTCTTTTTTGTTATTTTGTTTGCTTTCCAATAGTAGTTTCACAGGAAGCTTGTGTCTTTACTGTGATAACAAAAACACTGGAACTTGTCAATGATTTTTATTGTTTTGTTGTGGTGCTGGACTAATTCAGATGGCAAATGACTTTTACCACTAAACTGCATCCCCTGACCCATACTTTCCTTTCATATAATTTTATTTCACTTTTTGGTTTCTGGGCCATGCCTGGCTGCACTCAGGATTTACTTCTGGCTCTGTGCTCAGGGATCACTCCCGGTGATGTTTGAGAGACCCTATTTGTTGCTGGGATTGAACTTGGTTCAGTGAGTGCAAAACAAGAGCCGTACCCCTGTACATCTCTCTAGCACTAAATCCATTTTAATTCTTTGGTGGTTTTTTGGTGGTGGTTTTGGAGCCTCACCTAACGATGCTCAGGGGTTACTCCTGGCTCTGCACTCAAGAATTACTCCTGGGGGTGCTGGAGGGCTGTATGGGATGCAGGGAATTGAACCCAGGTCGGCTGTGTGCAAGGCAAGTGACCTACCTGCTGTACTGTCTCTCCAGCCCCAATTAAAGTTTTTTAGAGTATTGGTAATGAGAATTTGGAGATGAGAAAAAGACCTAAACTTATTCTTAACTGAAATAGTCTGAGAGGCAGGCACTAGGTGGCTTTTTTTTTTTTTTTTGAATGCCATGGGTCTTTGCCTTTGGCTGAAACTCATTAGGGGATTATGTGGCCTGGAGACACAGGTTCCCAGTGGCACCTGGGATCTAGAAGAGCCTACTTGGCTTTTTTTACTACTGATTCTGTGAAGGCATGTCCAAATACAACAGAAGGCATGTTCCACACGCGATAAAAGGCGTGTTCACACATCTTTTATGTCTCATATTTGAGCAGTGCTGTTTGGTACTGTGGCCTTTAATACTAAGTACCACTGGCAGTATTAAAAACATGTCAGTGGAAATGTGATTTGAGGGGCCTGCTCTCCACATATTTCCTTTATTAAGATGTAAATATTGAACTAAAGAGGAAGAAAAGTTCTTTAAAGCAGGGGCAGATATGCTTATTAGAGGAAAAGAATACATTAAAAAAATTTTTTTTTTCTATCACTGGGGACTAAACCCAGGGCCTCATGTGCAAGGCATGTGCTCTACCCTTGAGCTGTGCCACATCCTCGGTAAAGACAAATTTGTTTCTTATTTTGTTTTTGTAAGACACAAACAGGGCTTACTCCTGACTATGATCTGGGGTCACTCCTTGGTGGGGCTTGGAGGACCATATACGATGCGAGGATCCAACTCAGGTTGGCAATGTGCAAGGCGAGCGCCCTTGTTGCTCTGGTCCAAGACTAGTTTTTAGATGTTTTTGAGTGTGATTTTGGTTAGGGGCAGACAGGGCATTTTGAGCCACACTTGCTGGGTACGTTGTCTTGTGTTTAGCTATGGTGTGTGCTCAGAAAACCATGCACTGCAAAGTATTAAACCTGGTCTCCCATGTGACATCATGTGCTCATCTTTCTGGTCTTTCCATTCATTATCTTACCACTACAAAATAAACCTGATTGTGTTGTATGTCTTTTCAGACTTTTATTTGTGGGGTTTTGTGATATGTGGGGTGCAGGGGATCTTATTGTGGGTCTAACATGTACAAGACAAGTTTGTTGCCCATTGTATTATCTTTCCGGACCCCCTTTTTATATTTTTGGCTACACCCAGGGCTTATTTCTGGCTCTTAGGGGCTATATGATGGTGTCAGGGATTCAAACTGGTGTTGACCATATATAAGGCAAGCACCCTAACCCTGTACTCTCTCTGGCTCCTGTGTTTTTATTCTTTTTTTCTTGGGGGGGGTCACACCTGGTGATGCTCAGGGGTTACTCCTGACTCTGTACTCAGGAATTACTCCTGGTGGTGCTCGGGGGACCATATGGGATCCTGGGAATCAAAACTGGGTCAGTTGTGTGCAAGGCAAATGCCCCACTTGTTGAGCTATCGCTCCAGCCTGTATGTGTTTATTCTTTTTTTTTAATTTTTTTTTTTTAATTTTTTGGGTCACACCCAGCGATGCACAGGAGTTACTCCTGGCTCTGCACTCAGGAATTACTCCTGGCGGTGCTCAGGGGACCATATGGGATGCTGGGAATCCAACCCGGGTGGGCCGCGTGCAAGGCAAACGCCCTCCCCGCTGTGCTATGGCTCCAGCCCCTGTTTTCATTCTTAGAGCATTCAGATTTCATTAAGAGAATTAGATGTTTGCTTAGACTCCAATGATTGTGATTATAATACTTTTTATTTTTTTATACTGTTAATTCTAGGAAGCATTCAAGGCTGTGGAAGATATTCATGGGCTGTTCTCCTTGTCTAAGAAGCCACCTAAACCTCAGTTGATGGCCAATTACTACAATAAAGTCTCAACTGTGTTTTGGAAATCTGGAAATGCTCTTTTCCATGCCTCTACCCTTCATCGTCTTTACCATTTGTCTAGAGAAATGAGAAAGAATCTTACACAAGAAGAGATGCAAAGGTAAGAATGTAGGGGTGTTGGAGTTACTAACTACCAAATGCTATTTTCTACCAAATTATATTGGGAGTGTAGCCTAGATAAGGTTTTGCAACGTGCACAGATACCGTTTGTGTTTGGATGACTGGGGTTGTTTAGGGAATCCTGACACTGCACCGTGGATGCTAATAGCAGTCTCCTTAGCTTTGGCTGCTGGAACTGCGGAGATGGTTTTCCTGGGGAAGGATTTATGATTTTCAGTTGCATTTGTTTTGGGTCCACTGAGAATAAAGTCCACTGAGAATAAAGAATAAAGAATATTTGGACAAGGTGCTAAGATCTGAGGTTTTTATCAGTGTATATAGTATTCAGTATATTCTTAGAAAATAAGCTAGTCAATTAAGAAAAATGCTTCCATTGAGATTTTTTTATTATAAAATCATAGAATTATAAAATCAAAAGCACTTGATACTGCACATAGAGAAGAACCTGTCGGCTTCAACTTAGCTGTCAGCTGCACTGAAGTTTTTTGTGTCTGCTTGTGTATATTCTATGTTGGTAATTTTTTTGTTCTTTCATATTGGTTGGAAGTTTTCTACCTGTCTAATAACAGCTGCATAATAATACCTAGATTTTGTTTTACCTGATTTCCCCCATAATTTTCTGCCCTTTATCATGACTGAAATGCTTTGTGCGTATAGAACGTACTTTCCCATGTGTTTTATTTCCTATGTTTACATATTAGATATATGTATATTATCATTAATGTGGGCTAGAGGGATAGCACAGTGGGTATGGCGTTTGCCTTGCATGCGGCCAACCTAGGTTCCATTCCTTCGTCCCTCTCGGAGAGCCCGGCAAGCTACTTAAGAGTATCCTGCCTGCATGGCAGAGCTTGGCAGGCTCTCCGAGGCGTATGTAGTATGCCAAAAACAGTAACAACAAGTCTGACAATGGAGGCGTTACTGGTGCCCGCTTGAGCAAATCGATGAACAATGGGAGGACAATACTATATCTAGAATATTTGATACTACTTTGCATGTGACTGTATTTGTATTGGGGCCATACCCTCCCATACTCTGGGCTTATTCCTGACCCTGTATTTGGGGATCAGATGATGCTGGGGACCAGCCCCTGCTCAGTGTGTGCCAGACAAATGCCCCTACCTGCTGTACTATTGCTTTAGCCCCAATCCCTTTCTACATTCACTTTTTTTTTTTTTTTTTGTTTTTGGGTCATACCCGGCAATGCACAGGGGTTACTCCTGGGTCTGCGCTCAGGAATTACCCCTGGCGGTGCTCAGGGGACCATATGGGATGCTGGGAATCGAACCCGGGTCGGCTGTGTGCAAGGCAAACGTCCTACCCGCTGTGCTATTGCTCCAGCTACATTCACCTTTTTTTAGAAAATACTGGAATAGTGAGTATTAGGCTGTTAAGCTGTATTTTATCTTCACAGTAGCCATTGATTGCAGTGTATAGAAGCGTTCATCCTGCCATTGATTCCACAGCTAGAAAACGTTGGGTATAGTAAGTGGAAGGGTGAAATTGTCTTTTCCCTCAGTGTTCATTTTAGCGTGTCATGTTTCTCAGTTAAGTCTGTGCTGTGAAGAACGCTGTTTACAAACAGTTTACCATGATGGTGTGACCGCCATATTCTGCGACACATCTTAGAGCATTTCCAACTTTTATCTCCTTCAGAATGTCGACGAGAGTTCTTTTGGCCACTCTCTCCATCCCTATTACTCCTGAACGCACTGACATTGCCCGACTCCTGGACATGGACGGCATTATAGTGGAAAAGCAGCGTCGCCTCGCAACCCTGCTGGGACTGCAGGCCCCACCAACGCGGATTGGCCTTATAAACGATATGGTTGGTATATTTAAAGCTTTGAGGTGGCAGTACTAGGAGATACTCCTGGTTCTCTGATGGAGGCTGCTTCTGGCAGTGCTGAGAGACTAACCCCTGCAGGAAAAGCCTGGGTTCGGCCCTGTTGAGCTGTATCTCTGACCGCAGTATAACTTTGAACCAGAAAATGTTACGGTCAGGTTTCACAATTAAGCCCTGGGAATTCTGGTACATTTGTGAAGAGTTTTGTTGTGCACATGAGTTTGAGAACCAGATTTAAACCAGCAATGTTGGGTGATGGTGAATTGTTTCTAGTGAGCTGGTGATGTTGTAGGTAAGACATTACTGGGGAGGAAAAAAAGAGACATCACCGGGGTACCTGTACAGGGGCTATGCACAGGGCCCCATCCCTGTTAGATATTGATACTACACTGCCTAAGCCTGGTGGGGGACCCGAGTGTTTCTCCAGACCACATTCTTTTTTTTGGTGGGGGGTGGCTGTTTCACCTGGTGACGCGCAGGGTTACTCCTGGCTCCAATCTCAGGAGTTACTCCTGGTGGTCTTGGGAACAATAGATGTCAGGGATCAAACCTGGGTTGGCCATGTGCAAGGGCAAACACCCTCCCCTCTGTACTATCGCACCAGCCTTGAGACCACATTCTTGGACATTCTCCTCCTAGCCCACTTGTTTCCATGTTGCCACTACACACAGTTCAACTTTGAGAACTAGATTTTGTGGTATTACATTCAGTTAGATGTAGTAAACATATTGTCCTTAGAAAGCAATCTTACAACAATTATGTTTCAGAGGTTTGTATTTTAACTGAAGCAGTGGGAACACTGGAAGTATTACCCATTATTTCCTGATAGGATAATTACACAATGACTGTTTTTGTTAGTAATTCCACATATACCTTTGGCATGAGAGTTGTGCTGTTGTACTGATGGAGTCAGTGTTGGGAGAGCATTGAGTCAGCAGTTAAAATACTCAGTTTCAGTTCTTACTGGGCCCACAGATCAAACTGTAGCTTCAAAAGTTATTGGTTCATTTCTGTTGAATAGATGAACTGTTTCCCAAGAGGTATATCTAAACCCTTTGGTTCACCTTTTGAATGAGCTCGGAATCCCTGGGCTGGAGAGCAAGGACCCTTTGAGTGGCTGGCTTGGATTTCTTTCTTTTATTTTTTTTTCTTTTCTTTCTTTGGCTTTTTGGGTCATACCTGGCGATCCTCTGGGGTTACTCCTGACTGCACTCAGGAATCACTCCTGGCAGTGCTCGGGGAATCATGGGATTCCGGGGATTGAGCCTGGGTAGCCTTCGTCGTGCAAGGCAAAATCCCCTCTTAGCTGTACTCTTTGGATTCTGCAAGTGGCTGGCTTCGGTTTGATTGATCCTTGGCGCCACGTTATGATCTTCCACGCTTGCTCAGGAGTCATCCCTGAACACAACCAGGAGTGATCTGTGTGACTTGTGAGCACCATGAGAAAATTTCATCAGAAACAGACAAAATCCTGAACCCAATTTTAAATCATAAAGTCACTAATTCTGGTCAAATATAACCTATTTTAGCCCATTCTCTATTTGAAGGGGTTGTGAGTCATTCGCTGGAATAATTTGATAGGGATGAAATTAGAGCTGGTGTAATTTTATTTGCAAGGTCATACTAACTCTGTTCCAAGAAAGACAGAAGGAAAATAAATAATCAGATATTTCTGGATATCAGTCATGCACCCATTTTGTGTTGGAGTTAAACTTCGTCTCATTTCTTGGAATATGATCTGCCAAGTGTGACCTGCACCTTGTGACCCAGTCTCTGCGGGATGCCTGCACTAGTGTTACTCTCCAGTCATACTGTGCTCCTGCATTCGTTTTATCTTTGACCAGTATTAAGTATGGAAAGCATGCCTAACAGGTTGAGTGACCAGAGCAATAGTACTGTGGGTAAAGCTCACGGGTTCAAGTCCCTGTACCGCGTCTGGTCCTCTGGGCTTGGCCCGGCCAGGAGTAAATCGCTGGTGTCACTGGAAAGCAAAGTCATTTGAATTAATTGCATTTCTTGGTTAAAGCATAGTACAAGGGATTAGGGTATAGGTCAGTTTTGCAATTTACAATTGCCGTACAAATGTTTGCTCTCCTTTTAAGGAGGATTATGCAGAGTGGCATTGTTGTACTGTGAAAGGAAGTTGAGTTAAGATAGGATATAAGTATTCCCTGTAACACATATGGTCCCCGGGGCAAAGCCAGGAGGGATTCCTCATCCCAGAACCTCGGGGTGCTCACGGGCCCCTTCTGGGTGCTTGGGTTATGCTGCTGGTGGTACTCAGGAGACTGTTGTACGTACTGCGGTGTGACTCTGGGTCTCATGGACAGCACGCACTTAGCCTTTCTAGCTGGCGACTGCCCTCAAAGGTAACTTTTAACTTTAAAGAGATGGTAAATGAGAGGATAAATTTTATTCAGTAAACTCCCATAACTAAGCCCTAAGAGTTATCATTATCTGACTTAAAATACCGTGAATTTTGTTGTTTTTGGGCCCACACCATATCAGTTCAGAACGTCATCCTGACTCTGTCTTCAGGGATCATTTCTTGGTGATCCATAGTACCCAGGAACAATTTTTGGTTCTGTGTTGAAAGGACATTGTCCTGGGGCATGAACCCAGGGCAAATTGTGCGCTTCTCCATTTGGCACTGTCTAGTGCAGCACTTGTGCCGTTGTGGTGGCACGGGTGGTGGACGGGTGTGTCATGGCCCTTGTGGACCTGCATTGCTGCATGTGCTCACACCAGGTCGATCTCAAGCTGGCGTGGCAAGTTGGGTAAGCACTGAGCTCTCCCTGGGCTCCTGTTTTAAAAATGAAAAGCTTGGGGTATCTTCTAGGTTGTCTTGGCATTGGCTAATGGTGTATTGGGGCCACCAAAGCCATGCCCAGCCTCTGCACCAGCTCTGTTAGGCGCTGTTCAGTTGTATTGGGTACTGCATGTGCTCAAACATGTTAACATGGAGGCATCTCCCCAGCTGTTCAGAGTCCTGTATGTGTTTTTAATGTAAGTTAACTTGTAAAGACTGGTGTTTTATTTAGTAGGCTGTTGCCATGCGTTCTTTAAAACTATTGTGTTGATTTGCTCGAGGTAAAGGTAAAGGCCCTCCCGTTGATCGTCGATTTGCTCGAGCGGGCCCAGTAACGTCTCCATTGGAGACTTTGTTGTTACTGTGTCTGGCATATTGAATACTCTCGTAGCTTGCCGGGCTCTCCGAGAGGGGCGGAGGAATCGAACTCGGGTCGGCCATGTTGGCATTGTGTTGATTTAGTTTTTAAATTTTCTGAGTACCTGGGTCTTTTTCACTCTAGGTAGATGTGCATGATTGGACATAGTTGTCCTTTAGATTGCATGTATCAAAAGGGGACAGATTTGAAGGTTGTCGATTCAAGAAAATTTCCAGTTTGGGGGCTGGAGCGATAGCACAGTGGGTGTGTGTTTGCCTTGCACGCGGCCAACCTGGGTTTAATTCCCAGCATTCTATGTGGTCCCCTGAGCACCGCCAGGGGTGATTCCTGAGTTCAGAGCCAGGAGTAACCGCTGTGCGTCACCGGGTGTGACCCCCCCCCAAAAAAAAAGAAAATTTCCAGTTTTTTGTTTGTTTGTTTTGGGGTGGGGCACATCCACCTGTGCTCAGGAATTACTCTTGGCGTTCTGGGAATCATTTGTGGTGCTAGGTTTAGCAATATATAGGCAAGTGTTTTACCTGCTCTACTGTACCCCTGTACTATGTTTTAATCAATGTATGCTCAGCTCAGGATTCCAATGTTAATTTCTTCATGCAGTTAACCCCCTTCCTTTTGCTTCTTGCAGGTCAGATTTAATGTACTGCAGTACGTGGTCCCAGAAGTGAAAGACCTGTACAATTGGCTGGAGGTAGAATTCAACCCACTGAAACTCTGTGAGAGAGTCACAAAGGTAAAGCTTTGCTGAACTTTTTGTTAGAACTTTTGTTAGCCTGTAACTAAAACTGCTGCAGCTTTTTACGTTTACGTTTGCGTTTACGTTTGTTAGTGCACATTCCATTGTCTTTTTTCTTTCTGTCAAGAAGAAAGATATTTCTGATGTGCCAAACTAACATATGGAGGTAAATTAGCAGCATGGCTTGGTAGCCATTGCTGTCAGTCACCTTCAGACAAGTAACAGCTGCTTTACAGTCCACTTATATTTCTTGGCATTGTTTGATGTTTTTGAATACTAGAAACTTGGAAAGCTTTTTAGGTGTTTTTATTACTGTGTCTGCACAGAGTGTAATTGTTTCAACTTAATGGATTTTATAGGTTCTAAATTGGGTTAGGGAACAGCCTGAAAAGGAACCAGAATTGCAGCAGTATGTTCCCCAGCTGCAGAATAACACCATACTCCGACTCCTGCAGCAGGTAAAGATGAAAAAGGAATGCTTTGTGTGTTTTTGGGTTTGGACCTTACATGTTCGTACTCGGGGCTGCTCCTAGATGGTGCTCAGGGGACCGTGCAGTTCTGGGTATTGATTTGCAAAGTATTCACTGCAGCCCTCGCAGTTATATCCCCAGTCCCACAGTGCTGGAATTTCTCCCTTTTCCCCCACCTCATTTCTTTTCTTTTTTGGTCTTTGGGTCACACCCGGCGATGCTCAGGGGTTACTCCTGGCTCATGCACTCAGGAGTTACTCCTGGCGGTGCTTGGGAGACCATATGGGATGCTGGGAATCGAACCCGGATCGGCTGCTTCCAAGGCGAATGCCCTACCCGCTGTGCTATTGCTCCAGCCCCCTCCCCCTCATTTCTTTTAAAATCAATTTTTTTTATTAAGGCAATGTGCTTTACAAAGTTGCACAATGTTCCAGCAACTGTCCCGTATATCTTAATGGTTTTGCTTCCACGTCCCTATTTTTCTTTGGATTTTGGACCGCAGAATTTAGGACTTTCCCTCTTTGGTTTGTGCATACTGTCTGTGCCATTTGCCCTCGTTAGTAGTATACCTTTTCCGTCTCTTTAAAATAAAACCTGTGTGGTTTTTCACTGTCCAAAGTTATCAAGATTCATTTTTCATATTAATTGAAACCTCTTTCTAGACTTTTTGTTATTAGGAAATGCAGCCGTGAGCACCCTTCATACATGTACCATTACATGCATCCATGACTTTTCTGTAGCATAAGAAGTGAAATCCACAGGGTTTGCGTATTTAAAGCTTCTTACATTACATTTGGTAGCTTCTCAAGGCATTGTATTTATGAATCTTCGCAAATAGCGAATGAAGGATTTTCTCCTGTTAACACTAGGCATTACCAGAAGAGCTTTTCTTAAATGTTCACTTGGGTATTTGTGCACATTTCATTGACCTGCTTTCTAATGTTCTTGTGAGCAGTGTTATTTCTCATGTGCTACATAATAATTGAAGGCTAATTAGCAGTATGACTAAATAGTAATACTGCCAGTCTCCTTCAGACAGCTTCATCAGATGTTTCAGCTGAGTTAGCTGAGTGGTACATCTTTGCAAATTAGAACTTTTCACACACATACCTGGCCTTTCGGGGGTTTCTTGTTCTGTGAATCTAGAGTTTGAAAGATGGTGTATTTGAGGGTCATGGGTAGTGTTAATGGTTGTTTGGTGTTAGTGCCCTTGGATTAGAATTCTGGCTCTGTGATAAAAATGCTGAGATTCTTTTTTTTTTCCTGCCTCTGATGCAGATTGTGTGTGTGTGTGTGTGTGTGGGTGTGTGTGTGTGTATGTGTATGTAAATACTGCACATGAAAAGTGCTGAATAAATAGCCATATGACTGACCTTGTGTCTTTTATGCAGGTGGCACAAATTTATCAGAGCATTGAGTTTTCTCGTTTGACTTCTCTGGTTCCTTTTGTTGATGCTTTCCAACTGGAACGGGCCATAGTAGATGCAGCCCGGCATTGCGACTTGCAGGTATGTGCTAGAGGGGACAGTGTGAGAAGGGAGGGCTTCAAGGGCTAGATGAACACTTCCTTTTCTCTCACTTTTGGGACGACGGCACAATAGTAAGACTACTGAACACTTTTTTTTTCTTATCCAGCTAACCTTTTTAAAATAAAAAAATTATGCAATGTCTTCATATTCGTGTATAATGGTTCTTTAATTCTCTAAGGTTCGGATCGACCACACCTCTCGGACCCTTAGTTTTGGATCGGATTTGAACTATGCTACTCGAGAGGATGCTCCTATCGGCCCGCATCTGCAGAGCATGCCTTCCGAGCAGATACGGAACCAGCTCACTGCCATGTCCTCGGTTCTTGCCAAAGCACTTGAAGTCATCAAGCCTGCTCATATACTGGTAGGCCCCCGCCCCCGCCCCTCTGTCTCGTTTTGGACCACACTTGGCTCTATTCAGGGACCATTTGGAGTATCAGAGATTAATCCTGGGTGGGTTGCGTGCAAGGCAAGGACATTCCTGCATTGCTTGGGATTGGATCAGGGTCTGCTACGTGCAGGACCAGAACCTCTCTGTCTCTGTTTCATAACTTCTCATATGTGAGCTGTTAGTGCGCCTCCTTGGCTGGGGCTCGAAAGGAGATTTGCTAAGGACAAAAGTGACATAGTCAGTAGAAGCTTTCGAGGAGCACTGCCAAGATGATTGTATTGAGTTAGTAGTGTTTTGGTTTTGGGCCATACCTGGCAATGCTTGGGGCTCACTTGCTTGGTCTGTGCTTGGTCACTTCTTGGTTAGTCTTGACTGGGTTTAGGGGACCCTAGGGGATATTGGGATTGAATCCTGGTTAGCTTTGTGCAAGGCAAGCACCTTACCTGTTGTACTATCTTTCTGTCCCGAAGGGAGCCAATAATTTGAAAAATGTCTTCATTTATTATTAAAAATTCATGCAGTGGTAATACATTAGAATTACCTAGTGACATATTAGTACCTGACATATTAATACTGACACATTTTAAACTTGCATTTCTCTTTGAAGCAAGAGAAGGAAGAACAGCACCAGCTGGCTGTCACCGCTTACCTTAAAAATTCCCGGAAGGAGCACCAGCGCATCCTGGCTCGGCGACAGACAATTGAAGAGAGGAAGGAGCGCCTCGAGAGCCTGAATATTCAGCGTGAGAAAGAAGAACTGGAGCAGCGGGAAGCTGAACTTCAGAAAGTCCGGAAGGCCGAGGAAGAGAGACTGCGGCAAGAGGCAAAGGAGAGAGAGAAGGAGCGCATCTTACAGGAACACGAACAGATCAAAAAGAAAACAGTCCGTGAGCGTTTGGAGCAGATCAAGAAAACAGAACTGGGTGCCAAAGCGTTCAAAGATATTGACATTGAAGTAGGTAGCCGGGTGTGCCTGGACTCAGTCTGGTGCCTTCTCTTACAGGCGCTGATTTCTGTTTACTTGTTGGTCTAGTTATTAGGCTTGTTGCACTCCTTTTGGTATAGCTGGCTCATCGCAGTTACCTGCGTTAAGAATTTGTTCCTATATTTTTCGTTTTTGGGCCACACCCGGCAGTGCCCAGGGCTTATTCCCGGCTCTCCTCAGCAGTTGCTCCTGCCAGTGCTCAGGGGACCATCTGGGATGCTGGGATGGAACCTGGGCTGGCTGTGCAAAGCAGGCGCCCTATCTGCTGAGCTCTTGCTCTGGCCCTCAGGTTCTCTGCAGCTGAAATGCAGCTGTGGGTTAGAGGAGAAAGGCATACTAAGATCATAACCTGTAATTTTGTTGAAAATGAAAATGGGTTATTGTAAAATAATGGTCACACGTGTAGATCAACAGGTGACCAAAAATCCGGGTTAAATTTTAGAAAACAGTGCTCCAGGTTGACAGTTAAAAATATATTAACGATGATGCATTTGGATTATTTTCAGGATCTTGAGGAATTGGATCCCGATTTTATCATGGCAAAACAGGTTGAACAACTGGAGAAAGAAAAGAAAGAGCTCCAGGAACGCCTGAAGAACCAAGAGAAGAAGGTAAACGAGTGTGGAATCCGGTGCCTCACGTAGGCGAGGCCTTAAGTTCCACACGAAGCCGCACTTGATCTTTGCCTCCATTCGTTTGAATTTAGAAAAGGGTCTGGCACCCCAGGGCCAGTAAACTTCATTTAAAAAACTTTGTTTGTTTTTGGGCCACACCTGGCTGTTTTCAAGACTTACTCCTGATTCTGTGCTCAGGAATCACTCCTGGCAGGCGTGGGCGACTACTAGGGCTTGAGGAATTGGATCTCGATTTTATCATGGCAAAACAGGTTGAACAATTGGATCCTGATTTTATTATGGCCGGGGATCAAACCCACTTGGCAGCTTGCAATGCAAATGCCCTACTCGCTGTGCCGTCTCTTTCCCACCAGGAAATCTTAAGATTCCCACCAGGAATCTTAAAACTAAGAATTTGGACTCTGCCTGGCATTGCTCTGGGGCAGCTCTTGGGAGAGGGTCCCTCCCAGTGGTGCTGAGGCTTGAACCTGGCACTCCCGTGGTACGGTGGTTTGCTTTAGCCTCGTGTGCTACTACCCTCCTCCCCCCCCCCCCCCCCCCCCCGCCCTGGCCCAGGAGACTTTTATCCTCAAATAGGGCTGAAATTTGGATTTCTGATAATACCTTTGTTTTTTTGGTCCACCTCTCTAGCTCTGGTGGTGGTCTTAGGGGGACTGTGTGTGGTGTTGGGAACGAGCCCAGGTTGCCTGCGTGTCTTTCCGGCCTCATAATAGACGTAACATGCTAAGTTGGCAGAGAGACTTTTCTTTTAAAACTTGGTTTTCACGTCCTTTAGATCGACTATTTTGAAAGAGCTAAACGTTTGGAAGAAATCCCGTTGATCAAGAGCGCATACGAAGAACAGAGGATAAAGGACATGGACCTGTGGGAGCAGCAGGAGGAGGAGAGGGTAAGTCCCAGTCCCCTCGCTCCAGGACTTCCTAGTTTGTCAGATGTCGTTCGGTACCTCTAGTAAAACGGTTTTGTTTTGGGTTTTGTTAGTGCTGTGTGCTAACAGATCAGCGGAAGGTCTTTTCACAAGAGAGATTTAGAAAATGGAAGTTGGAAAATGCGAAGAATAGCAGATAGAGTTACCAATGCTATCGATGCAAAGTATGTACTTACTTGTGGCGTTCTGGGGCCGTGTCTGGAGGTGCCGAAGGAACAGCTCTTTCAGTGTGCAAGATGTTGCTCTCGGCAGTGCTCTGGGGCTCCATACACCTTGAGGATTATATTTATAGGATTGTGTAGTGTATTAATTTTAGAACTCCCCCCCCCCCCCCCCCCGATTTGGTGCCAGTTAGTGGTTACTTGCCATTTTGTTTGTTCTCTAGCAACTTGACAAGCAGTCGCTGGCTACCTTTTGGTCTCGATTTGTGTATTTTTGACTCTAGATATACGGAACTACATAATGTTTGATATTTTTTGTTACTGAGCAATTTAAAGACTTAATCTTCACCCATCAGTGCTCAGGGGCTATTCGTGGCTTTCCTGAGATGGGAGTGACCACTCTGTCCAGGGCAAGCGGCCATGGTGCTGGAGATCTGAACTGGGGTCAGCTGCTTGCCTCAGCCTTTCTGTTCTCTCCCTTGTCCCTTACTCTGTTACTTGAATGATAGAATAATCAAGTTCCAAATTCTTGATCAGATTTGTCCTTAAAACAAATTGCCTTTTTCATCTTGTTTGTTTCAGGGTATGGCAGGTATTGGCCTCGGGGCTAACTCCTGGGTCTGCGTGGAGATCACTCCTGTTGGGCGCTGGGACCCGACCTGGTTGTAGGACTTGAATCTGGACCTGGCTGCCTGCAGGGGGGCAGCCTCCTTGCTGCCCCAGCCCTTTGGCCCCAGATACCTCATTTTGGTTTCAGGAGTGAAGCTCGGGCTGGAAGGAAGATCGGCCAGCACTCAAGCGTGTGCGCCTAGCAGGCAGCTGCCCTGGCCTCTGTCCCTGGCACCTCTGGGGGTGGCCCCGGGAAGGATAGCAACAGGATAAGAACAGGGCGCAGTGCCCTATAGTGCCCTGTGGGTCCTACAGTGTTTTTGGGCATCTCTCTGGCTCTCTATGTTTTGGTGCTGTGTAAATAGTTTTCACTTGGGAAGTCTGAGAGATGGGCCCAGAAGGTAAAGAAATGAAGACAGCGCAAGCGCCTGGGGGCGAGTGCTGTGGAGTGGTGGTGCCTCGGCTTGGTGAGAGCGGGAGTTACTCTAGGAAGTCCGAGAAGTGCTGCAGACCAGCTGAACAATTGAGATTATTGGCTGCGGTATCTGCCCTAGGCAACTGGGGAAAGCCTGTCCTTTTAGAGTAGTTAATCCTGTCTTAACCTCCTTGTCGTTAGGGAGGAAAGTGTCTTAAACAGTGCTCACTGCTCATACTATTGACTCTGTTCTGCTTATTGAGGTATAGACTTCGCGGGGCGGATGGTCTCATGTCAGGGCCTGGCCATGCGGAACTGCTTGCTTCTCTGTCCTGTGGCTGGGGGCCCCCAGACTCGTGCTGGTCAGTGTGTCCTGAGCCATTGGATGCCGGGCATCGGCTTGGGGCATTTTGCATGGAAGTCGCGTGCCAGCCTCTGAGCTCTCACCCCATCTGAGGGGTTCTTCGATAGGCTGGTTTCTCTTCCTGGTACCACAGGCTTAAATAAAACTCCTTAGAGGCTTTGGGGGTGGGGTCTATTATCTGGGCAGTGCCTGGCAGCCGTGTGGTGCCGGGATTGGATCCTGGGCTCACACGAGCGTCGTGTGCTTCAGCTCTCTGAGCCATTCCCTGACTGCCCCCTTTTTCCTTTGTATTCTGAGCCCTGGGCCTTTCTTTCTCTGCTTGAGCAGGTTTATTAAGGTGGGGGGTGCGTGGGATAGTGCTCAGGGACTCTGCCTCTGCCCAAGGTTGACAGTTGGGGCTCTCAGGCCCAAAGGAGGCACTGGGCATCAGACTGGGCGCAGCAGAGTGCAAGCGAGTGCCGGAACCCTCTGTACTGTTGGGCTCTCTCTGCGGGTGCTAACTTGTGTCCCCGAGATTCAGTACTCCTTTTTCTCTCTACTTTCCTGGGGGATGTGTTTGCACAGATGGGTTCCCGTGCCTACCTTTGCTTGTTTAGGGCCGCATTCAGCAGTGCTCAGGGGTATTCCTGGCTCTGCTCTCAGGAATCACTCCTGGCACTGCTCAGGAGACCATATCGGGTGATCGGGATGAACCCACAAGACACACCCTCCCTGCTCTATTGTTGTTCTGGCCCCCAACTTTCATTTCTTTTTTAAAGACATACTCGATGGTTCTCAGTTTGCTCTAGACCAACTGCTCCACAAATGAGCTCTGATCCTCTGGTTCAGAGCCTCCCCCAGCCTACCACTTCACTTTTATAACAACACACACAAGTTCGATATGCCAGACACAGTAACAGCAAAGTCTCCAATGGAGACGTTACTGGGCCCGCTCGAGCAAATCGATGATCAACGGGAGGGCCTTTACTTTACTTACTTTACACAAGTTGGAGCGAGGTTGATAGTTTGTTTTCAAATGCTAGAGGTGCAGAGCCTTGAGTTTGCTTCCTGGTATCGTCTGGCTCCTAGACCATGCCTGGCTGTAGTTCTGAGAGTGCAGGCGGTGGGGTGGGCCGGGGTGGGGGTGTGTCCTCAAGCAGCAGAGCCCCTGTCTGCCTGGAGACCCTGCTTGTCATTGACAAATGTCTGTCAGGAGCTTGAAGTCAGTCAGTAGACAGGTGTTTGAAATTGACCCTTGTGCCATGTCTTCACAGATCACAACCATGCAGCTGGAACGGGAGAAGGCTCTCGAACATAAGAGCCGCATGTCACGAATGTTGGAAGACAGAGATTTATTTGTAACGCGACTCAAGGCTGCACGGCAATCTGTTTATGAGGTGAAGTTGATGGTGTTGGGGAAACATTTAGGCGGAAGTTGTTCAGTGTTGACTCAGTTTCATACTGGTTGGGAGGAATGCACCCGGCTGTGCATGAGGGTTTCTTTGGGCGAAGCTCCAAGGGCCCAGATGTGGTGCCACCCATTTAATCTGGGTGTACCAGAGTTGGCCGCGTGGGTAAGCTCCTGCCTGCTGTATCTGGCCCCCTGGTTTTTGTTTGGGGGCCATACTGGCAGCAAGGCCTGGGGTTTGCTCACTGTGATGTGGACGGACCATATAGTACTGGTGATCAAACCTGTTGAACTCTTGTTCAGACGATACTTAATTTTCCTTTGGGGAGAGTGGAGTGCCCAACCAGGCCAGGCTGCTCTATCTAGTCCAGCACCCGGGTTGACTCCTGGTAGTGCCGGGGCTCGGGCCTTACGTGGTGCTGGGGTCTAGCAGGGCTCGTCCCTGCAAGGCGAGCACCTTGACCCCTCTGCTCTCTGGGCCCTTTTGTAGAAATCAGAAATTTCTACAAAAATGATTTATCCTTTCTATTTGGTAGGTAAGGTATTATAAGGAGAAAATTAGGTGAAAGAATGCTAAAGTTTGCTTTTGACAAAAGCTTTTGCTTATTAATTGAGAAAGTTAAAAAGTGTCTATGGTAAGTTCTAAAGTAATATTCCAGTTCATTCTGAGTTAAAATATCTCTGGGTATAGATGATGTTGGTAACTTAAAAACTTTTTTTGTGAGGAAAATGTCCAGTCATATGGGAATTCTCATGGAATGGCAATGGAACATAGTTCAGCAGTAGAATTCCTGCCTTCAGTGTGTGAGGCCATGGGTATGATCCCTGGCTTTGCAATGCATATGTCTACCAAAAAGTCTTTTTTTTTCCATTTTGATGCTTTTTGGGGACCACTCTGGCAGTGCTTGGTCAGGAATCCAGCCTAGGACTTATGCTGTCTTCCTGGCAAGTGGCTCCAACTCTGAGCTTATATCCATCTCTGGCCTTCAGAACTCTTATTTTTAGACTTAGGGCCTACCTGGGCTGATGTTCAGGGTTGTTCCCTCAGCTGCTTCCGAAACCCACGTTGTATCTGAGAACAAACCTGTGGAAAGCATTTCCCTTGACCCTTTATTTGTTTATTTATTTATGCTTTATGGGTTGCACCCGGTGGTGCTCAGGGGTTGGTTACTCCTGGCTCTGCACTCAGGAATTACTCCTGGCGGTGCTCGGGACCATATGGGATGCCGGGGATCAAACCTGGGTCAGCCACGTGCAAAGCAAATGCCCTACCCTCTGTAATAAGCTCCAGCCCTTTGAGCCATCTCTCTGATGTAGAAGTTTTGTCTCATTACTTGAAGGTTGTTTTCTATGGCTACCAGAAACCTGCAGCTCTTTGTTATTGGGTTTTTGAGTCACGTCCTGCAGTGCTCAGGGTCTGTTCCTGACTTTGTTCTGGGGTCACTCCTGTGGGTGGGGGGACCATATGGGATGCCAGGACTCTAATATGGGTCAGCTGCGTGCATGGTAATCTATCTATTATACTATTATCACTGTCACTGTCCTCCCTCTCATCGATTTGCTCGAGTGGGCACCAGTAATGTCTCCATTGTGAGGCTTGTTACTGATTTTGGCATATTGAATGCGCCCCGGGGTAGCTTGTCAGGTGCTGCTGTGCAGACAGGATACTCTTGGTAGCTTGCCGAGTTCTCCGAGAGGGACGGAGGAATTGAACCCGGGTCAGTTGCGTGCAAGGCAAGGCAAACGCCCTACCCACTGTGCTATCGCCCCAGCCCCTAATATACTCTGATTTAAAAAAACAGTTTTTCTTTTAGTGAAGCAAGTAGTTTTATTTAAAGAAATTTACTTTAAAGAAATGTGAGGGGAGAGAAAGAGAGTGAGAGAGAGTTCAAGAGAGAACATGAGCTTCTCCAGAGGTTACAGAACCTTAACGTATACTATTATACTGTACCTATTATGCTATCTCTGGCCCCAAGAAATTCGCAGTTTTTGTTTCTTTTTCTTTAAGACTTAAAACCTCCTGCGTTCAGGTGTGTGTAGCTCAGTGGTGGGTGTGTCTCTCATGAAGCTCTAGGTTCAGTCTTGCCCTCACAGGGAATTCAACAAATTCAGCAAAACTTGTGAGCCTGTTGATTTCTCGAAAGTCTTATTCTCGGTAATCATCCAATTACAGGAGAAACTTAAACAGTTTGAAGAGCGACTGGCAGAAGAAAGACATAATCGCCTGGAAGAACGCAAGAGGCAACGGAAAGAAGAGCGCAGAGTAACTTACTACAGAGAGAAAGAGGAGGAGGAGCAGAGGAGGGCCGAGGAGCAGATGCTGAAAGGTCAGCCCCGTGCGGCCGGGCGGGAACTGGGGGCTCCTGGGCAGCTGCTTGAGTCGGTGCAGTGATGTGCTCGGCCCCCGGCCTCAGCAGTCTCCCCGCTGTCAGTTCTTTCCTGTGTGAGGTCCCGTCCTTCATTCACACCCGACTCTTCACACCTTGATAATAGTTTTTTCTCTGGAAATTACTGTTACCTTGAGCTCTTTGGCGGGGAGGGGCATACCTGACCCCACTCAGGGTCTGTCCCAGGTGGTGCCCGGAGACCACATGTGGTGTGGGATTCGAACCTGGGTCAGGGTCGCAGCAGTGGTTGCATACTAGGGATGTACCTTCACTTTCCTGCGCTGTTGCGCAGACCCAATACTGTTTGACCTTTTTTTTGGCTTTTGGGCCACACCTGGCAGCTTTCAGGCTTCCTTCTAGCTTGGGGCTCCCTGGTGTCCAAAGCATTTGCTCTGCCTATTAAGCCCCCAAATGCTATTATTTTTCTTTTTTGGATTTTGGGTCACACTTGGCTCTGCTCAGGGCTTACTCTCTGGCTCTGCACTTGGGGATCACTCCTGGTGGCCCAGGGATCTAAGATGATGGGATGCTGGGGATCAAACCCAGGGCAGCCACGTGCAGGGCAAGTGCCCTACTCTCTCTCCAGCTTCCCAAATACTCTGTATATGTAGAGGAATTTTTTTGCTTGTTGCTTTTTGTTTTGGGGCCATACCTGGTGATGGCTCAGGAGTTACTCCCGACTCTGCATTCAGGAATTCCTCCTGGTGGGCCTTCGGGAACCCCATGGGGTACCAGGGATTGAAACCTGGCTGGCTATATGCAAGCAAGTGCCCTACACTGTAGAATCACTTCAGCCCCTTATACTGTTATTTCTAATGGTAAATAACATAAGACTTTCTTAAAATGCATCCTGTAGCTGATTATTTAGAAAGTCTTTATTTTTTTAAAATTTTTATTTTTAAATTTTGGTCACCTGGCCATGCCCAGGGGTTATTCCTGGTTCTGCACTCAGGAATCACTCCTGGCAGTGCTCAGGGAACCATATTGGGTGCTGGGAGTTGAACCTGGGGTCAGACACATGTAAGGTAAACTACCTGAACCATGCTTCAGCCCTTATTTAGAAAGTCTTAAGGGTTTATATACTGCTTTTTTAGTAACAAAATTACAACTGGATTTGGGGCGAAAAGGGGATAGGAATCACACTTACTGTTTTTGGTTTGCTTGTTGGTTGGTTCATTTATTTGTTATTTTGAGGCCATATCTGGGTGTGCTCAGGCTTATTCCTGGCTTTGAGCTCGAGAATCACTCCTGACAGTGCTTGGGGCCCCACATGCCATTCTAAGGCTTGACCCCAGCCCACTCTGAGTGTGCTAGAACTGTGCTGTCTCTGCTGCCCCTGGGAGCCTCACTTGATGACAATGTTTGTACAGAGCGGGAAGAGAGAGAGCGAGCTGAACGTGCAAAACGTGAGGAAGAGATGCGGGAGTATCAGGAACGGGTCAAGAAATTGGAAGAAGTAGAAAGGAAAAAACGCCAAAGGGAGCTGGAAATTGAAGAACGCGAGCGGCGTCGAGAGGAGGAGCGGAGACTTGGTGAAGACCCACTCTCTAGAAAAGTGAGTATGAATTCATTGACGTGTGTCACCTCTCTTGCACAGCATGTTTCAGATTGGCTGTGTGGACAGTTATGTTGATCTTACGTTGGGCCATACCTTGTTTGGATCAGGTGTGTTATGTTTTCTTCATATGGGAAGAAAAATCAGACTCTGCAAAACTGGGATTTTATAGACCTGTGGAGAGTATTTGCTGGTAAAAACTGTGGGAGGGTGGGCTACCGACACAGTGCACTGTTTGGCTTTAGGGTTAAGGTTAAGTAACTGGCTATGGGGGGAGTGTCTTGCTTCTTTGTCTGCCTCACCTGTTACCAGATGTGGGTGTCGAAGTTGAACTTTGCCTCATACATGCAAAGCAGCCGCTCGGCCGGCCATATTCCCAGCCCTAACGTGTTGCCTGTTCAGGACTCATCGAGCCTCACGAGTCAAACCTTATTTCTTTGGAGGGGGAGCGGGAGGCATATTTTTGGATCTCGCCTGGCAGGACTCAGGACGATATGGGGTCCAGGGATTGAACCCCGTCGGCGCTTGCCCTGCCCCCATCCATCTCTGCTTTCTGTTTTGTGATTGTAGGCCCACTCCCGCAGTGCTGTGAGCCCTTTCTGGCGCTCTGCTGAGGATTGGGATACAGTGCTGGAATCCTCTCTGCAGCCTGTCACAGAAGTTTTACATTGTATTACCATCTCCTCCTTTGTAGAGTTACTTTTAATTTATATCTCTTGTTTTCTAGGTCTATGCTTGCCTCTTGGCATTTTTTTCTCTCTAGAGTAAAACATAATACAGTTTTGATCAATTCAGATTTTTCCCTTAGAACTTCAGGCCTGAGCTTGCTTTCCTAATACACAGAGACCCTAAAGGAAGTTCAGTTCTTGCAGGTGTTCGGAATTTTCTCATTCTTTGACTAAAAGGGAATTTAGAAATTTCAACTAAAGCTTTTTTAGGTGCTGTCTGTATTGTCCTTCCTTATAGGATCACAATTAACAGTGTTCAGGGCTTACTCCTGACTCTGTGCTCAGGGATCACTTCTGGCAAGGCTTGGGGACCATACGTAGTGGCAGGCATCAAACCTCCATTGACATTTGCAAAGCAATTGCCCACTGTACTATCTCTGGTTCCAGTGTTCTTTCTTTCTGGAAGCTGGGATTTGTATCCTTTCAGAGAATTCAGTACTTTAGGAAGATCAATTTTTATTTTTTGCTTTTTGGGTCACATCCAATCATAGCACAGGGGTTACTCCTGGCTCCGTGCTCAGGAATTACTCCTGGCAGTGCTCGGGGGACTGTATGGGATGCTGGGAATCAAACCCGGGTTGACTGTGTGCAAGGCAAAAGCTCTACCTGCTGTACTATTGCTCCAGCCCCCAAATTTCTTTGTTTTTTTTTAGTGTGCAATCATTTATTAAGTCTCTTCTAGATATTTACAAACATAAGAAAAGAGTAGACAAAAGATTTAATTTTAGATAGTTTAGCATAAAAACATCAAATACATGTATCGATTTTATACTATTACATTTGAAATCTCAATTTTCTGAATTGATAAACATTGTTTTTTAAAGAACACTGTCTGAATAAATGAAGAAATAGTGAACAAAGCTATTTCCCCTCAAATGGCCTTCAAACATCAAATGCTAGTTAGAAATTAGTTTTGCAAACCTTTTCTTTTTTGCTTTTTGGGTCGCACCCACTGGCTCTGCAGTCAGGAATTACCCCTTGCCGTGCTTGGGGGACCATATGGGATGCTGGGAATCGAACCCGGGTCGGCCACGTGCAAGGCAAACACCCTCCCCGCTGTGCTATCGCTCCAGCCCCGAGTTTCGCATACCTTTAAGGAAAAGATTGATCACTATGCCAAAAACCATGTAGAGCTTCTCAAATGAATTTCATAACATTGAGATCGAATTTCTTTAAACTAGGAGCACTTCCCCTTTTATCTATTCTTGACTTTGAAAGTTCTCCTTTTGCTTCTTCCATCTCAGATCCTTTTGCAGTTCAGTAAGATTGCTTTCTAGTTTATACGGTAAGAGTGGGACCTGAGGAACCCACTTGGATGGGACCCATCCTTCCGTAAATAAATCCCCCCTTCCCCCCGGCCCCTTTTTGTTTTGTTTTGTTTTGGGCCCTACAGCCAGTGGTGTTCAGGACTAATTCCATATGCCCCTTGACTCCTGTCTCTTTGGCTCTAAATATAACTCTCGAATGAGCTCCCCTCTCTGCCTTCGCTCTATTCGAAAGAACCACAAAATAGAAACACCATCCAATAGAGAGGCACCTGTTTTTTGGTAGGTGCGTTCTCCACTGGGTCTGGGCCTTCAGGGCTATCCCCACTACTGCTCCGGGCCGTGCGTGCCGGGGAGTGAGCTGACCCAGGTCCCAGAGCACGCCAGCCATGTGCTTCAGGCCTATGAGTTGTTTGTTCAGGGGAAAAGTCCTGCTGAGGGGCTGCATTGGGAGAAATAGTTTGCATTGAGAGAAATAGGGGTTTTTGTTTGTTTCTTTAATTTCTTAAGGGTTTGTGGTAAAGCCACTTGAATTCCTTCTTGATTAATTCACAGGATGACTGTCCCTCCTTGTTTCCATACGTCATGTGTATCCTCTGTGTCTTCTTGGTCTCAGAGGTGGCTCAGCCCCTGGCCTTTGTGACGCTTCACTTCTTGAGGGCCGGTTCTTCCCAGGAGGTGCTGGTTTTGCGAGGGGCTGCTCCAGTTGTTTCCTGCTCATTGATGTTGGAGGGCTCTTTGCCCAGACACGTTACATTAAGTAATGAACTTCTTAGGAATCACCAACTTGGGCTTCTAGTTAATTTTTTAACTCTGTGGAAATACTTAGATTCGCACTCCTTCTATTAAAGAGAAAAAGTAAACTTGTTAATTTCTCTTTTCTCTTCTGAGAGAGGCGGCTGGACTGCACCCAGCTGGGCTCTGTGCTTGGTTCTGGCTCTGCCAGCTTGAGCCTGTGGAACCAAGGCCAGCACCTTACCCGCTACACTATCTCCTGGTGCCAGCTTTGATTTCTTTTGGACGACTTGAATTTCATAGGCTCAGTGTCCTGGTCCTGAGGCTAGACCAGCCGGTCAAACGGTTGTATCTTATTTCTTGAGGCGACCCTATAGGTAGCTTTCAGAGTTCAATATAATATATAGTGTAGGTGATAGAATTGTTGCTTTTTTTTTCTTTTTTTCCTTTCTGGGTCACAGCCAGCGATGCACAGGGTAACTCCTGGCTCTGCACTCAGGAATTACTTCTGGCAGTGCTTGGGGGACCATATGGGATGCTGGGAATTGAACCCGGGTTGGCCACGTGCAAGGCAAATGCCCTACCTGCTGTGCTGTTGCGCTTTTTGTTTTTGTTCCGAACCTGGTGGTGTTTGGGGATCACGCCTGGTGGAACTCAGGGGCCCTGTGGGGTGGCTGGGGATCGAATCCAGGTTGGCCGTGTATCAGGCAAGCATCCTACCCACTGTCGCATCTCTCCAGCCCCGAAATGTTCCCATTAAACTAGGCACATTGCCCTGAACTAAAGGTATTGCTACCTTCCATACTTTGCCGTTTGATTTGGGGATTTTAGAGCTACACCACCCCCAGTGGTGGTCAGGGTACCAAGTGCAGTTCTGGGGAGCAGTATTTTGAAGTCCTGTTAATTCTTCCTGCGGAGATTTCATTTATTTACTCAGCCTCTGCTCACCTTGTTCAAAGAAAATCTGAGGACTCTTAAAGATGAAGTTGGCATCGATTTACAGTTTTATTTATTTTTGGGTCCCACACCCAGCGGTGCTCAGGGGTTATTCCTGGCTCTGCACTTAGGAATTCCTCCTGGCAGTGTTGGGGATGCCGGGAATTGAAGCCGGGTCACCTGTGTGCAAGGCAAATGCCCCATCCATTGAGCTATAGCTTTGGCCCTGCAGTTTCACTTGTAAGTCTTAGGGTTGCAGGGTCACTCTTCCACATCACCCTCCAAAATACCAGTGTCCCTCCACCACCATCCCAACTGCTTTGCCCACTGCTTGGTCAGCTTTGGCTTGTTCAGTTTCACCCAGTTTTGACTTTTCCTCTAATGTCTGATTTTGGACATTTTACTGATTGTATGGGATAGTATATCAAACTTTTTCTTGTGGTATTTTGATAATTCTTAAAGCCCCCAGTGCACGAGGGGGCGAATTTTACTGCTCCACCATCCTGAGGTGATGTTAAGCATAGAAACATTTATTTTGGGGGAGGAGTGGGGAGCCACACCATACAATACTCAGGGCTTACTCCTGTCTTTGAACTCGGGAATCACTCATGACAGGCTTTGGGTTGATGAGGATTGAACCTGGGTCAGCCATGTGCAAGGCAAACGTCCTCCCTACCTGCTGTACTATGCTCCTGCCCTTAAGATTGTTAAATACATGTGCAGAAATGTTTTATGTTAGTAGTTAAGAAGTTACCAATGAGTGTCTCTTCTTTTGATTGATGCAGGACTCCCGTTGGGGAGATCGAGACTCAGAAGGCACATGGAGGAAAGGCCCCGAGGCGGACTCTGAGTGGCGGCGAGGCCCCCCGGAGAAGTAAGTGGGCGCAGGGAACCACTGTGGGAGCGCTGAGGGGTTTCTGATTTGGTTTATTTTGTAGGGAAAGGACAGCATTGAAGGATTACATGTGTTTAACAATGATTTAAATGTATTTATAGTTGACATTAACACTGCTGTAACTTCTGACCTTGAAGAATGTCGAGGAATTGCTGTCTTGGATTTTGTTTTTAATGGGGTAGTATTGGCGTTAGGGCAGTAAGCCCTTCGCACCTTCTCCCTCTGAATTTCAGATCAGCTCCTCTTTTCAAATGATAGGTTTGAAACGGTCATACAAATAGGTTGAGATTCTGTGTATATCTCCTTCTAAAGCTGTTTTCTGTCGATCTAGAAGCTTCGTGGCTGTCTCTAGTTAGAACACACATAGGCTGGGTGAATTGGACGAGGTGAGTGAGGTGCTGCGGGGCGTGGCCAACGGTTTGCTGACGGTTTGTTCCCGCAGGGAGTGGCGGCGCGGAGAGGGCCGGGACGAGGAGCGGCTGCACCGGAGAGATGAGGAGAGGCCGCGGCGCCCTGGCGACGACGACGAGCGGGAGTCCGCGCTCAGGCCCGACGAAGACCGTGTCCCCCGACGGGGCCTGGACGACGACCGCGGTCCCCGGCGCGGGCCTGACGATGATCGCTTTCCCCGCCGCGGCCTCGACGACGACCGGCCGTCCTGGCGCAGCGCTGACGAAGACCGGCCTCCCCGGCGGGGTGGCGACGAAGACCGGGGCAGCTGGCGCCACGCCGATGATGACAGGCCACCGCGGCGGGGACTGGATGAGGAGCGAAGCTGGCGTGCCGCCGACGATGACAGAGGACCGAGACGGGGGCTGGACGACGAGCGGGGCCCGCGGCGTGGAGGCGCCGACGATGACCGGCCGTCCTGGCGCAGCGCTGACGACGAGCGGGGGCCCCGGCGCGGGCTGGACGATGACCACGGCCCTTGGAGGAACATGGACGACGAACGGATGCCCAGGCGCGGGGCGGACGATGACCGGGGGCCGTGGAGGAACATGGACGACGAACGGATACCCAGGAGGGGCGACGACGGGAGGCCTGGCCCCTGGAGGCCTCTGGTCAGGCCAGGTGAGCGGCCGGGCGCGGGGGCTGGGTGACTTTCTCAGGAGAACCCTCCCACGGGAGGCGGGATTCTGCTGTGTCAGGGCTCCGCGCTGAATCCGTGCTGCCTCCGTACTGCAGGCGCTTTGGTGCTTTCCCTGTTTCCCGCAGAGCACTCAAAGTGGAGTGACTCCCTGACAGTCGTCCTGACCTGAGGCCATGAGCCTTGGGTGGGCTGACTTGGCTGTGCCGGCGTTGCTCAGGGGTGCTCGCTGGCTTTGTGTGCACTGGGTGCTGCCCCGGGGCGTGAACCGGCTGGGCTCCGAGACCCGTGAGCTCTATTTAGCTCCTGAGCTCTCCAGCCCCTTGCTCGTGTCTTTTGCGGGTACTCCCACTGTGGTGCTTGGGGGTCCATGTGATGTTGGGGGGTAAACCTGGGGACCCCCGATGCAAAACACATGCTCCAGTTGTCAAGGTTTGTCTTCCTGCTTTCTCATTTTTGAGAAATTTTGCAAACACATATATGTTGTCTTGCTTCTTTTGCTTCTGCGAGTGCTTAAGATTGGATTTCCGGTTAGACATGGCACCTTTGTACCAGCTGGCGTTACTCTGGCATTACTTTGAGCTCAGATCTTTTAGCGTTCTTAAATCTATGCACTGCTCCTTGCCTCTGCAAGTTGGGTCTGGACCTCTACTTTTTGTTTTTAAATTACTGTTACTTTTACTGTATCTCTGAGTTACAGAGTTACAAAGTTGTTATATTCAGGTGTACAATGTTCCAACACCAGTCCCTTCACCTATTTCTACTACACCAATATCAGTACTTCCTTCCCCCCCTCCCCCCCAAATCACCCTTCCCCATGGCCGGCGGTCCCCTTCTGGGCCTGACATCCCCCCCACCCCCGTCTCCACCCGAGTGCCAAGCTTCCTACTGGAGACCACTTCTGCCCTTCAGTTTTCTTGCCTCTTGAACCTCCACTTTGACCTCAGCTGCCAGCCATTCCTGATGTCTTATTTTTGAACAAAAGTCAAGAGTTATCTGTTCAAAAATAAGGAGCTTCCCACCTTTACTAGTAGGATGGAAAGGGTTTTAATAAGTGGAATTTTGTTATGCTTGGTAACATAATAAAACTGCTATATTTATGAAATTTCACTTTGCTGCCACGCGCATCCTGTGGCTAAGAGAGATACTGATCACAGGCTCCGAGGACTTGTCTTTTTCACAGTTGGGTGGGTGGGAAGGGGAAAGAGACTTACTCCTTGTAACCAGGGGAAGAGTCTTGGTCGAAAGGTCTTACAGGGTGTGAGGAAACTTGGAATTGGGCTGCCTCTCGCAAATACGACCCTGTTCCTCACCCTGTGTCTTCTAGTTGAATTCTGCTTATTGCTGTCTTAATAGACTTACACTTGAAGCCTCGGCAAATAGACTTCACCCAAACTATTACTAGCTTTCCTGTACGTGTGGTAGAATAACAACAGAAATCCTAAGTAGGAGCGCGTGACTGTGAAATGAGCTGTAAATGGAGCTTTTTTGTTTGTTCGTTTTCGTACATGCCCAGGGGTTCTCCTGGACGTAAAGGTAAAGGCCCTCCCATTGTTCGTCGATTTGCTCGAGCGGGTCCAGTAACGTCTCCATTGGAGACTTTGTTGTTCCTGTGTCTGGCATATCGAATATGTCGCGGGGAGCTTGCCAGGCCCTGCCGTGCGGGCGAGATACTCTCGGTAGCTTGCCGGGCTCTCCGAGAGGGGCGGAGGAATCGAACTCGGGTCGGCCGTGTTGGCTGCGTGCAAGGCAAACGCCCTACCGCTGTGCTATCACTCTGGTTTCTCTTCAGATCGTATAAATCGTATACTCTTGGACGTGCACTCAGGAATTGTCCTGGTGGTGCTCAGGCGACCATATAGGATGCTGGGGATCAAACCTGGGTTAGTGGTGTGCAAGGCAAATGCCCTACCTGCTGTACTATTGTTGTGGCCCCATCTTCAGTATTTTCTTACACAAGGTTGGAGGATTGTTTTTGTTCAGTGTCAAGGATGACAAGAGACATATTCTACCTTTGAGCTATGGATTCCTGGCCTGGATGTCTCTTAAGTTGTGTTTAGAATGGTGGATTGAAGTCAACAACACTGTCTTGATTAGAAAAATTCTTACTTTAACAGGTGGATGGAGAGAAAAAGAAAAAGCCAGAGAAGAGAGTTGGGGTCCACCTCGAGAATCGAGACCACCAGAAGAACGCGAATGGGATAGAGATAAAGAAAGAGATAATCAAGATCGTGATGAAAATGACAAGGAGCCAGAGAGAGAGCGGGACAGGGAGCGAGACGCCGACCGAGAAGATCGCTTCAGGCGGCCCAGGTTTGAGTACTTTCCAGCCGCTACTGCCCGTGTGCTTCCAGCTCCGGCTGGAGGGCCCACAGCCTGCCCGCAGCGCCAGAGATTGACCCCGGGGTTCCCATGTGCCAGTGACGTGCACTTCATCCCTTTGCGCGGTCTCCCGGGCCCCTCTCTGATTAAGGTGCCAGAGATCAAAGCCAGGGACAGGCGCTGTGCTCTCCCACTGAGCAGAGCCCGTCCTGTCACTCTGTGAGGCTAAGAGCTGGGAGTGTCCTCTCCAGAGGGGCTTTGCACACAGTCACTTGCTTGGTGTGCTTGACTGCTTAGCGTGTAGAAGGTGCTCGGCACTCCTGAGGGCTCTGTAGAGGCTGACCACACGGGGGTCAAGACAGCTGGATCGGCATCGGGCCAGTGAGGTGTTCTCACCTGGGCTCCCGTTGGGCTTGGTCACGTGCGCCTGCTGTGTGCAACTTGTCGTTTTGGTGGTCCTAGGGATGAAGGTGGCTGGAGAAAAGGACCCGCCGAAGAAGCTTCAAGCTGGAGGGATTCAGGTCGCCGTGATGATAGGGATGACCGTCGCCGTGATCTGAGAGACCGACGAGACCTCGACAGGGACCGGAGAGGCCCTCCGCTCCGCTCAGAGCGCGAAGAAGGTAGGGGAGGGGGGATGTTTTCTCTGGGAAGAGCGGGGTTTGTGGGAACAGAAATATGACAGCAAACTCACTGCTCAGAATTCCACTTTCAGGAGTTCACACATCTCTAGTTCCAAGTGTATTAGAATCGATTGACTAAACGCACGTAATTAAGGAAATAATGGGCAGTTATTTAGAAGTCACGTCCTGGTGATTAAACTTAAAAGTGTTCCACACTGTAATTGTAACACTGCAATACTATTTTTAATGTCCTCGGTGTAGTGGGGTCGTAAGTGTATCATATTCTTTTTGTGATGCTGGGGATCAGCCAGGCCACCCAAGCGAGGTAAATGTTACACTGCTGAGCCCTGTCCCTGGCCTTGGGAGTACTTTTCTGGGTAATTTATTATGAAGTCTCTTTAACATTAATCAGAGAGCCTTTTGCTACTCACATTCTCCTTCAGCCAGATAATCATGACCTTGCCCTGAAATAGTCTGCAGTAATGTTGCTTTCCCAGACCATTGACATTTTGTGTGGCAAATGTTTTTGTCAGATAATTGAATGAAAATGATTCAGGATAGTTACTGGCTTTCTATGGAAGTGGTTCTGTTTTGCTTCTGCATTACACGATTTCTGAAGGTTTGTGGGTATTAGACTCAGGCCTGGTGGTGCTAGCACCGAGCCCGAGTCTCCTTGCATCACCGACAGTCTCCCCAGTCCCATTTCTGAGTTGGTTGAGGGATTCTTCCTTCACGTCTGTTCATCTCGGCGATAGAGTGCCCCGGGAGCTTAATTCTCTCTTTCCTTTCTTTTCGCATTTTAGTCAGTTCTTGGAGACGTGCTGATGACAGGAAAGAGGAACGGGGGGAAGAGCGGGAGCCCCCTCGCCGCGTCCCTCCGCCAGCTGTTACGAGGGACCGAGAGCGAGACCGAGAGCGAGAAAGTGGTGACAAAGAGAAGCCCTCTTGGAGAGGCGACAAAGATAGGGAATCTCTGCGTCGTACTAAGAATGAGACTGACGAAGAAGGATGGACCACGGTACGACGTTAAGTCTCGCTCGTGGATTCGAACTCGTGTCTTACATGGGTTTGATGACGTTCGGGGATGATTATACTGTGCTTCAACCAATCTCAGTTGGATTCTTTTAATGTTCTCTCTCCATAACACAAAAAGCATGAACTTGTATTAATCCTATATAATAGATTGATCATGCACCGTACCCACAGAAGGTTGGAATACCATGCCATTTTCTGGAATTTAAGGTGTTGCATTATTTCATCAATCATTTGTTTACAAAAAAGAAAAACTAAAAAATAAATTTGAAATGTGAACCCTTCAGGTATTGAGTAACACACCTGTATCTTGGCATAGAAATGATCTTTTTTTTTTGTTTTCTTTTGTTTTTAAAATATCTGATTAATTTGGAATGAGGTATGGTTCTGTTTTAGAAAAGTATTTGAGAACTTAAAAGCAGGGAGCTGAAACAATTTTCACGCCATTAGCAATTGATACGTACCTCTGTATCGCTTGAGGTAGCTATTGTTATAAATTGAGAAAGTTTTTAGGTTCACTCTAACTGCAGTAAACATTAGAATACAGTGGATTTCTCTGTAGGCTTGAGAGGAGGCGAGTAACTCGAAAGCAAGCAGGCTGCAGTCTCACTGTAGTGACAAGACTGCTTGAGTGGGAATCCGAAACAATTAAGCCTTGAAATTTTAAAGCATTTGGTAAACTATTGCTGAACTTTTTCTGTTGCCAATAGCAAACTGCTTTTCCATTAATGGAGAATTCATGCCTTTCAAACATTTTAAATATGACAATATTTATAAATGTGTGGTTTGGAGGATTGTTTTTAAGTTCTTTTTCCTAATTTTCTTTCTCTCCAGAATAGATTCTTTGAACAAGTAATTTGTAGTAATGACTGTGTTGCCTTCAATTTTTGAGTGTAGTAGCTATGTTAAAGATGGACTCTCCGGTCTTATTGAAGCCAACACAGAACTTGCTGCTGTGGTTTTTCTTCAATGATAAATAAAATACTTACAGAATTTTAGTGTTGATTTGTGATTCTAGAGAAAGTGTTTTGTAACGGTGAGCTTGCATATTCAGTCAAGTTTTTTGCTAAAGTTTCATCAGTGCCAGTGTCTCGAAGCCTATAGTATCAAAGAGCAGAACTTAAAACAAAGCAGATGCAGCTAGGTTGGTTTCCGCTAAGTTCCCCTCCTTCCGAAAGGGACCCCATACCCCGGTGCTACCATTTATACCCTCTCTGTGCTCTGTTGCATGGACGGTGGGTGTGGGTGTGTTAGGGAAATAGTGCTTTCCCAGGATGGAGTTTGCAAATTCCAGTGGCTTTGCAAGGCACTTGATTTCTGAAGTTGAGCAGCAAGAATGCCTGATGGTGCCCTGCAGGATGAAAGAAGGAATAGAATACTGTACTGGGTCAGATGCAGCCTCTTCTGTTCATGTTACCCGTGATGGAAGCGAACGTTTACTTGCTAACTGGTATTTCAAGAAAACGGATGTCTTTTACGAGTCCTCTTATCAAGTTAAAGAACTTGGACCTGAAATCTGTGGAGGCTTAGGTTACTAGAAAACAGGGTATCTGTGACATGGCAGACAAGATTGTGTGGGTGAGTTGCAGGTACACGTCTGGTGTGAGAAAGTGCCCAGGCCCTCCTGCAGACACACTCTTCTCCCAAGTCCTTTCTTTCTGGGAGTCGAACCCCCCAAGGCCTTGCAGACTTGCCCTCTGGACACCCCAGTGTGTGTTATCAGGAATGGCTTCCACGTGACAGTGCTGCTCCATTCTGGAGGGAATTGCCCTGATGTTGCTAGAGATGGGTCTGAGGCTGGAGGTGTCTGAAGTGGCTCCCCAGGGAGGCTGCCTTAACAAATACGAGACCAAAGACGGTTTGTTGATCCTGACTGTGGGGGAAGGTGTTGCCGAGGGGCGAGGAAGGAGCAGTCTGCCGAGCACTGCTGCCCTCTCCTTGGGTCTCCCACACGGTGCTCCGGAGCTTCAGCTCCCAGCAGCTCTCTGCCGACATGTCTCTCACCCGCAGGGTGGTTTGGGGGCGGGGGGCGTGCGATTCTAACTGGGGTCACCCTCATGCAAAGTGTGCGCCTTAACTCTTGTACTGTCTCACCGTGAAACTTGGAACACATTAAACTTTCTTCCCCTTTGTGGTTTAACTTTGACTTACTACCAATTTCTTGCAAATAAAATTTAATTTTGGAGCTCCCGGAAACGGACTTAATGGAAAATGGGAATTCAAGGAAATCGAGAGCCAGCGGCGAAGGCTCACAGGGAAGCACTGGCGGCCGAAGGCTGTGCCACCACACGGCGCAAAGCAGGTGCCTCTTGAGGCTTCACATCGCACTTCCTTTGGGTTTGGGGTTTGGGTCACAGCCGACCCTGTGGGGCTCCCGGGCTACTCATGGGTCAGTGCTTGGGGTACTGTGTGGTTCCAGGGATCAGGTTCGGCCTCCCAGGCCTTGGGAGCCATCTCCCAGGCTGGCCCTGGGACTTTGGTGTTTATTTGGGGGTGGGGGGTGGGTGTAAATGTACACAGGTGCTACCCTGGCTCTGCTCAGGGGACCAAGAACCGCAGTGGTGTCGGTCACAAGTGAGGCAACAGCCTCCCCTACTGCACGGTCTCTCCAGTTCCCTCATTTGGATTTTAGAACTTTGTGTTCCAGCCTTGGCATCTTCAGACGGTTTTTGGCCATACTGGCCTATGTTGAGGGCTTACTCGCCGCAGTTCTAAGGGGGTCATATGGGAAGGGGGCACGGGCAGGCATCAACCGGAGCGGGCCACATGCAAGGAAAGTGCCCTATCAGCTGTACTATCGCTTCGGTCCCTTGATTTTTACACTTGTAAGGCAAGTTGTTGGGGGCGTCTGGGGGACCATATGAGGTGCGGAGGATTGAACCCAGCTCAGCCACAAGGATCGGTGGCCTTACCTGCTGGGAGTATCTGTTTGGCTCCAAAAGATAGGATTTCTTTGGTCCTAATTTTAGCTTTTTAAGAACTGGAGAGAAATGAAATGTGTTCATCTTCTGTTGATGCCTGAGTTCCAGTGTCGGGGAAGGGTCTGAACCCAGAGCCTCACAGTGCTGAGACCGCACTCTGTAACGGCCACATCCTCAGCAGAGGCTACTTGATCTTCCTTGGTGTCCATCTCTGGGTTTCCCCCCAGCCCCGCAGGGTTCAGGGCTCATTTGTGGCAGCATCGAGGGACTATGGGGTGCCAGGGATCCAGCCCAGGTCAGCTGCATGCAAGGCAAGGGCCCTCCAGGCTGTACAACTGCCTGCTTCTGACAGGCTACTTTTCAAGTAGATTAGTATTATGGTTCCCAATTAGTACTGTTAATCCTGTTTTCTTTTTGGGGTGCTAGTCATCAAATCCAGGCCCTCCCTTGCAAGTGCTCTCTGTCACTGGCCCCTGATACCTTGGCAGATATCCAGGCCTTCAACGTAGTCTATCTTCAACATAGTCCCAGTTCCAGCAAACTGGGTATCAGTATGCAACTGCTGTGAGCACATCCTGTCTGGTCTCACATTGCTGTGGGGATCCTTAGGTTAAAACCGGGGGCCTGGGACCTGGAAAAGACCCCGGCTCTTAGTAAGTAGCTGAGTTGACTTCTGCACCAGCTGTCTCTTCTGGTTTGGCAAATACAGATAATAAAGCCTGGAGGGTGAAGCCACACAGCGGGAGAGTATGCAGAGTTCCTGCTGAGCTAAAAACTGAAGCAGAACAATATGTTTCAGGGAAGCTAAAAAAACAATTCACCCAATTTCATAAAGCCGCTTGAGCTTAGGTCCTGTCAAATCTGAAGGTTCCCAGTGGGTGGGTCTAAGTTTGTTCATACCGAGTTTGAAGGTTGCTTTTAAGCAGAAGGGGTTGGGGGCGGTGGGGGACCAAGGGAGGGCATCCGCCTTGCTCTGAGGAGCAACGTGCCCTTTGCTCACGTCTGTGCTGGGATTAGCTAGTCATAGAAAAGCAGTCTGGCCTCCAGGGCCCTGGGTACACTCCTGGGGCCTGTAGACAGTTCATTTCAGATGGGGGTGTACTGTGTGATACCTCTTGGTATGATACCATGCCCCCCGTGTGATCGGGTGATGGAGCACGAGATGTGGAGGGCTGGCAAGCTTAGGGGGCAAGTCTCTTGGACTCACAGGGGTCCCCAAGCAGACGAGAACCCCACCCGCCAGCTGTCCGAAGTGCTTATTCTGGTTTGAGGATAGCTCACGCTCAAAGCCAGAGGCCCCCCATCAACTGACAGGGAGTGGAACCTTCCAGCCCTCAAAAGATTCCATCTTCTACTTAGCGTGAGAGGTACCAGCTGGAGTAAAAAGCTTCCTGCTCTGGGAGCCCTGAAATGAGCAACGCGGTGAGCTAATCCTGCTCTCAGCCCTGCTTTTCATCTCGACATCACGAATGTTTTCAAACTGCAAGCCCGGGTGTGTGCAGACAGAAGGCCAGAGGAGCAAAGCTGTAGACAAGATTAATTCATAAACTGATACTGTATAAATACACAACCTTTTTAAACAGCACCGTCTCAAGTGTACACAATATGATTATAAGTTGGCACGATTTTTTTTTAAAGGTGAAAAAATGCTAGCTGCTAGCTCAGTAATAAAATACCTGGTACATAAAATGATAAGGAGGAGCCATATTCTTCTACCTGTTACAGATTGTGCACGTTCGCTCCTCCGGCTAGGACAAGCGAGTCACGAGGAGGGAATAACCCCCGCCCAAATCAACACTGGCAAGTTTTACGCCTTCACTTCTCAGAAACGGGGATGGTCTCCCCGGGCTGGCTTCCCCGGGCCCCAAACCACCGACCGAGGACAAGAAACGGCTGGTTTCAAACAATCAAGTCATTTTGCCAACGTTCCATAAAATTGCTAAGTTGTCCGTCCAGCTCAGAGGCTGTTAAAAAAATATTCTAAGGGCTAGTAAAGTGCCTCCATTCATAAAACGAAACCACGAAGATGTAGAGGAGACAATCTCATACCGACTCGCAGCGAGGTCGCCGGGCGACGGGCGCGGTAACTCAGCCGCGCCTCTCCGGGGTGGGGGTGCGGGGGGACTCGGAATCCGCGCGCGGTGCTCGCTGGCGGCGTGGGCAGAGACGAGAGCGAAACCGAGATTGTCAGCGTCGAGCGGACGAGTCCTCCGTGCGCGCGTCCGTCCGTGCGGCCTCAGCGCGGCTTCTTGGCGGCCAGGCCGTCCCGGGCGCTGCGCGGCGGCGGCGGCGGCACTTTGGAGAGCGGGCAGTACTTGATGGTGTGCGCGTTGTCCCCGCTGGCGCCGCACAGGGGACACGTGTAGCGGCGCAGCACGGGGCACAGCACCCGGCCGTCGGGGCCCTTGAGGATGTGCGTGGTGTACAGCGCCACCGCCTCCTTGTTGTTGCGGCAGAACACGCACACCTGCAGCTCGGGCTTGAGCAGGCGGCCGGCGGCCGGCCCGGAGGCGGCGGGGTGCAGCCGGGGCTCGGCCGCCCAAGCCGGGGCGCGCTCCTCGCGCGGCGGCGGTGGTGGCGGCGGAGGCGGCGGCAGCGGCGGCGCCACCTCGGCCGTGGTGGCGGCGGGGATGGGGATGGAGATGGGGGCGGGCGCGCCCAGCAGCACGGCGGCCGCGCGGCCGGCGAACGGGCTGAGCCCGGCGAAACGCTCCTCCAGCAGCCCGGCCTCGGCGGGGCCCGCGCACAGCTCCAGCGCGCGCAGCTCCAGGTAGCGGCCCCGCGCGCCCGGCTCGTCGCCGCTGCTGTCGTCGCCGCCGCCGCCGCCGCCGTCGTCGTCGTCGTCGTCGTCCACGTCGTCGTCGGGCGGCCCCAGCGCCGGCCCCCGCGCCCCCGGCCCGGCCCCCGCGTGGGGGGAGCAGCAGGACGACGACGACGACGAGGGCGGGGAGCCGCGGCCGCCGCCGCCGCCGCCGTCCACCGCTTTGGTGATGAGCGTGGCGAGCCCCAGGTAGTCGTTCCACGAACTGAAGGGCTGCGGGTGCGCCGGGCCCGGGGGGCTCACGAGCGCCATGGGCGGGGGCGCGCGGGCGCGGCGGGGCGAGCGGGGCGCCCAGGGGAAAGCCTCCATGGGCGGGCTGCGGTGGCTGCGGTGGCCGCGCGCGCCCGCCGCCGGCGCGGGCCGGACGGAAGGGACGCGCCGAGCCTGCCCGCCGGCCTGCCGCGGGGTGGGGCCGCCCGCCGCCTTTTATCGGCTCCCGCTCTCCTCCCCGCCCCCGCCGGCCGCGCCGCCGCGGCCCTGCCCCCTGCGCCCGCGCCCCGGACGGAGGCGGAGCGGAGGCGGGCGGTGCGCGCGCGGCGCGGCGCGGCGCGGCGCTGCGCCCGGCCCCGGCCCCGGCCCCGGCCCGCGCGCCCCTCGCCGCCCGCGCGCCGCGCCGCCTCCCCGGCTGCCGGCCGGCCGGCCCCGGGCGAGGGGGCGGGCGAGGCGCCGCCTCGGGCCCCGGCGCTAATTGGCTGCTGACCCGGCCCCCCACCGGCGCCGCGGGCGTCGCTCCGGACGCTGATTGGCCGCGGCTCGGGGCGGGGGGCGGACCCTGCCCGTGCAGCGGGGAGGGAGGGGAAGGGACCCGCGAGAGGGGCCGGGGAGGGGCGTGCGCCCGAGCGCCGGGTCTCCCGCTGGGCCCGGGCCGGGGAACAGGTGACCGCGCCCGGGTCTCCCTCGGCCTGGTGGTGCGTTTCCCCGAGGACCGGGCTGTGCGCAGCGACGGGCGCGCCCAGCCGCCCCGGGTCTGTTGGAGAAGCCCCTTCCTCCCCGCCGCCCCAGCAGCGGCGAGACCGCCCGGGGAGGCAGGACTGGGCTCCAGCTGAGGATGCGGCGGTCCTGTCCGCAGCAGCCCGGTCACCAAGTAACTTCGGTTGGCGCGGCGCTCCGGAGAGTTTGGAGAGCAGTGGAGGGACGCACTTCTCCCCGCCGCCTCCCTGCTGGTATGCCGGCGGCAGCCGTGACCCGGGTGGTGGTGGTGATGGGGGCTTAGGGAGGGAGGGAGCGGGCCAGCAAACCTTCCCGCTCTCAGCAGGGATGGGGCGCGTGGGCAGCGCCTCCCTCCTGGAGGGTCTCTGTCCAAATCTGGGATCTGTGCAGTTTGAAATGTTCAGCGTCACAGTTTACTACTTTGAGACGAATAAAATAATCCGGCAGTGCTCTGGGCATACTCCTGGCGGTGCCTAGAGGCAGGGAGGTGCCTGCCTCGAACCCGGGTTTGCTGCGCGCAAGGCCTGAACAACACAAGCCCGTACTATTTATAAGCAATATGATGGGGGAGAAAAAAAAGGGGGCAAAACTTTTCCTACCTAAAAAAGCAAGGCCTGGAGGGATAGTATGACGGGTCGAGTGCTTGCCTTGGGAGGAATGGATCTGGGTTGAATCCCTGGCACCAGAAAGGGTTTTTCGGAGCCCACCAGGTGTGATTCTTGAGCACATTGCCAGGAGTAAGTCCTGAGCATTATCAGGTGTATACTCCCACCGACCCCCCCCCCCCCCCCCAACACACACACCACAAAAAAAAAAAAAAGGGGAAAAGGAGTAGGTAGGTGGCAGGAAGGGCTCTTCTGGGCTCTGGGACTTTTGGAAACTGCCTGCTTGCGGGGTGGACTGACAACCACCAGCACTTCCTTCCCCCTGACGGGTTGAAGTAAGGAGTGGGGGGAATGAAGGTCCCCACCATGCTCAGGGGGTGATGCCCAGAGCTGGCGCTGACCATGAGTACCTGCAGTGTAAGCAGGCCTTGGGAATCCTTCCAGCTTCTGTCCATTTTACAGATGAAGAAAATGAACCCTAGTGTTGGGTTTCTCTGGATGCCAGAGAGCAAAATGGGCTTTGCACTGTGGGAGGCTTGGGTTCCTGGCACCACCGGTGTGACCTCGACACCCCCCCTCAAAATAAAAAAACAAAGACGGAACTGGACAGCTATTACAGCAGGTAGCACACTTGCCTGGCATGTGACCAACCCAGGTTCAGTCCCTGGCATCTCTCATGGTTCCCAGAGCACTGCTGGGAGTGATTCCTGAGTGCAGAGCATCACTGAGTGTGCCCTTCTTCCCCGCTCCCCTGTGAAAAAAAGACATAGATCAGATCGCATGGTGAGTGTGTGACAGAAGCAGGACTCATCATTCCTGACTGGACAGCTGCCTCCCTGCTGGACCCCAGACCCAGAAGCTGCATCAGAGCAAGTCTGCACAAATCTACAGGAATCAAGCAGGAAACATGCAAGTTCACAGAGAGAAGAGAGAGGCTCAAAGGGGCTGGAGGATGGAGCAGGGCGTCTGCTCTGGCCCCCGGCCGGGCCTGGAGAGTCGCTTCTCAGCCCTTCCGCGGCTCCTGCTCCTTCCTGGGTTGATTTCAGCCCTGAAACCAGGCCGCCACTGTGCTCTGCACTTGCCAGCCCAGTTCTTCCTTTCTTGAGTTTATGTTGGCTCTCGAAAAAGCCCTCCCCACGGTTCCTCCCCCCTCCCATCAAAAACAAACACGCGCCGTGGGTGTGAGGCCCCAGCAGCAGGCTGGCAGGTTCGCTGACTCGGAACTCGGGGCTCACGCCACGAGCACCCCGGCCCCCGGAGTGGGGAGGAAGATGGTTATTCTATAAATGGAAAATTCCACTCTGTGCGTGCTCACGGGCCCTTTCAAGGCAGGCCGGCTGTGCTTCCTCTGGAGACCAGGAGCTCGGGGGCCGCTTCAGCCTCGCTGGCCAGGGGGCATGAGGCCGCCAGCTGCGACCCTGGTGCTCCTGGGTCAGGCCCAGGCGGGAAGGGCAGCCAAGGGGGGGCTTTCTCCTCGCCACTGCGAATTTGAGCCCTTGTGGTTTTACCAGGGGAGCCAGAACCTCACCCTGAAAGAAGTGTGAGCAGACACCTTGATTGGGAGCCGCAGCCTGGCAGGTGGGGTCCGAAGAGGCCAGGAGACACCCTGGAGAGAAGCCGGCCGTGGCCCCACATGTCTGTGGTCTGCCTGCTCTCGCAGCTCCTGGCCTGACAGCTGAGTCTGTTCCCGTCGGACATCCAGAGCTGCTGGACCCAGGAAGGGCCGCTGGGGGCAGGCTGGCCTCCGTGTTGGGGTGTGGCAGGTTCTGCACTCCAGGGGATGGGAGTAGGAGGGAAGGGGGAGCCAGCGCCTGGTTGAGCCCAGTGGGTAAGTAGGGATTCTCACCACCGCACCCAGTCGGGGAGGCCGGAAGCGGTCCAGCTCTTGGAGGTGGTGGAACTGACCTCGGAGATGTCCTGGGCACCTCCCAGGACCAGGGGCCATCCCACCCCGTCCAGGGATTGTGCAGAGACAGACCGAGTGAGGCTCTTCTTTGAAGCGGCACTTGGTGCAGGCGCGGGCAGCCGGGTCTCAGCTTGAGCTTGGGCTGGAGGGAGGCGGGGTAGGGGGTGGGGGGGTCCCTGGCGCTTGGGCTCTGCCCCCCAGCCCAGGCCATTTCCTTTGCTGGCAGCTGAGCCGGCCCGGAGAGGCAGCGCACAGACCTCAGGCGTCTTGAGGCTCTTCAGAAACATGAGGTCAGCCCTGGGGAATGAGGCAGCTTGGCGGGGGTCCAGGCCACTACAGAGATGCTGTTTGTTGGCTCGGGGTCCCACCTACCGCCTGCCAAGGGGCAGGAAGTGCTTGGGCTCCCTGAGGCTGGGAGGCTGGTGAGGCGCCTGGGGCACGTGGGGGGGGGGGGAGGGACACCGTCTATATCACCTCATGGCCAGAGGGTCCGTCCGGGGACGGGTCCCTGGCACGTCACCCCAAGGCTCCTGCTGGGGTGCGCCGGATTTTCTCCCAGTCCTGTGCAAAGTCGCACCACCCTTGGCCTTCCTCTCGCTGGGCTCTGACCTCCTCCTGCCCTCTTGGAGGGCCTGGGGGGGGGCGGGGATCGTCTTGGGCAGGGATTCACTATTTCTGCCTGCCCCCCTCTTGGCATGGGCAAGGTGACAGGGGACAGGTGTGAGGACATCCCCTCTCCCCGGTCACGACCCAGTTTGGGTCCCTGAAATACTGGTGTGGTGGGGGGAGAGATGGAGTTTGCTCCGTTTCTAGAAAGACAAGGGCCGGGAGTCTGCCTCTAGCCAGCTCAGACCTGATCCCCGTCTTCCTGAGCCGCTGGCCGCCACAATTACAGTGAGGAACACGGGTGACTCCAGGGCCTGTGACCTTTCTCTCTGCGCCGTTCCTTGCGGCGAGCCCCCTCCAGGTGAAACAGATCCGAGATGGGAGTGATGCACCCGCTCATTTCCCAGAAAGCTGAGAGCAGGCGGGGGGGGGGGGGGGGGTGGGGGTGGGGGGGGGGGGAGATGGTCCGCCCGCCCTGTGCCCTGTGTCCCAGCTGATGGCAATCAGCGCAGCAGACTGGGCCCGTGGCCTTGTCCCCGTGGTGCCCCACCCCCACCCCCACCCCGGGCTCATGTGCAGCCTCGTGACCTTTATCCAGGTGGGCCCCAGTCTGCTGGGCGCATCTGCTCCTCGGCCAGGGGCAGGGACCTGAAAGGCCGAGCCTGGGGCCCACCTGAACCCTGTCCACTCCCCGCAGCGCCACCCTCAGCCGAAGCCCGCTGGGGGGGGGGGGTGAGGGGGGGGGAAGTGTTGGTTCTCCCTCACCTCTTCCTCCCGCCCTGGGGCTTTCTCTGGGAAAAGAAAAGACTCTTGACACGAGGAAAAGACTTTTTTTTAAATTATTATTAGTGAAACACCATGAGGTACAGTTGTAGACTTACAAATTTTTGTGCTTGGGTTTCGATTATACAATGATCAAGTACCCATCCCTCCACCAGTGCCCATTCCCCACCACCACGGATCCCAGTATCCCTCCCACCCACCATCCCCCCCATCCCACCCTGCCTCTGTGGCAGGGCATTCCACCTTGTTCTCTCTCTCCTTTTGGGTGTTGTGGTTTGCAAAAGAGGCAATGGGTGGCAATCATGTTCGGTCTATAGTCTACTTTCAGCATGCATCTCCCATCCTGGGCGGATCTTCCCAACACCCTTTATTTGGTGCTCCCTTCTCTATCTGAGCTCCCTTTACCCCCTAGGGTGTGCGGCTGCCCTCCAAGCCATGGAGTAGGAAAAGACTCTTGACTTGAGGTCTGCCAAAAAAAAAATGAGTTGGGGGGGCTGGAAGGGGGTGCGTTACCACATCTACAGAGTCAAAGGTGGCTTCCCTTCGACGGGAAGTTCCTTGTGCAGTGCACAACCTATACCACCAAACCCAGCGGCTCCTTGCAGT